TAAATGTGTGTGTTGTGTGTACATAATAATATAAACTCAGCTTGAATCATTTTAATTTTACACAAAAAAAGCTGATTTTACAAGCATTAATGTCAATTTATCGGTATCGGCCATAACAATGATCTTAATTTCGGATATCTGTATCAGCCCAAAACTTTCACAACGGTACATCACCAGTAGGGCTGCTCAATTAATCGAATTTTAATCACGATTACGATCTGAGTTTTGAACGATTATAAAAAACAAAACAAGCCGATTATTTGCTCCTCCCGCTTGCGCTGCCCTGAGTTGCAAATGAAGCGCTCCTCCCACAGTGTTGACAACTTAGTGACTGTGACGCTATTTCTAGCAGCTTTTCAGACCCCCTTCTTGACTTTTTAACTTAAAAGTACCTAGCGAACACCTCAGAAACATCTCTGGTAACCCTTAGCTACTTTCTGGATAACTGTCGTCGACGTTTCCTGCAGGTTAGCTAAACACTCCGCCTGCGCGCCGGACCGTTCTTCAGGACATTAGGAAAGGGAATGATGTAGTGATGTGTCAGTCGCTAAAGAAACAGCTCTCGGAGCCGGCTCCTTGTTGGATTAACCAGAGTGAGTGACACACACACACCGCACCTGCGGACTCCTGAGCCGCTAAAAATGGCTAAATGTGCGCGTGCGGCGCGCTAAACACACGTGCAGCTTGCCCCGATTGCTGTGAGACCGGTTTGGGGGGTGGGGGGTGCAGCTGTGGTTGGGACAATTATTACATTAACTGATGGACTTGTAAATAAATAGTTTATAAATAAGGTAGAAATAAGTTCCTCACGCTGATAAATAATAACTAATCTCTCTGAGGACACAGTGTTAGTGCACTCCTACAGCACCTTGACACGACTAAATACGTATTATGCAACATTTTGTGAACATCAATTAATTTGCATTTATTTGTCATAAATGCCACTGTATAATTCTTGCTGACAGTATTTGCAAGATATTGCTATTTGGGTCTGTACTAGTTAGACTTAAATGAGTTAAACCAAACCCTTGGGTCATAAACTATGAGCTATAAGTATATTGGTCTTTTTATACTGGGAATCAGGAGTTCTTTTAGTGATCATCTTGTTTCTTATTTTTGTCCTGATTGTGCCCTGAGCAATTTATGACTGAATAAAAACAAATAAAATCAACATAAATTGAAAAATCGTCCTAAATAATCGTGATCTCAATTTCAGTCACCATAATCGTGATTATTATTTTTGCCATAATCGAGCAGCCCTAATCACCAGTATTGGCCGATGTTAGCTATTTCTTAACATATCAATATCTTCTGGGCCAATATTAATTCCCATTTTTTGACAACTGCTTTATCACTCCCTCACCCTCTGAAACCGATAAGCAAATGGAAACAAGATTTTCAAACAATTGCGTGGAATGATTTTATGAAATGTTGGTGAATGTATATGTTTGAAATAAAGTGAACTGAACTGAAGATGGAAAAGATGCAGAACTGCGGCGGTAACAAGTTGTTGTAGGTGCTCCACTCTTGGGTCTTTCACATGCAACCAAACCGTTGAAAATACTGATTTTGTACATAAACTGGTCCTTGGCTTCCCTATTTCATGTATCCCTGTATGTTCTGCATCCTTTAGGGAATTTTAACATGTTCCTTAAAACTTCCTTTCTCCCAAACCTGCTCCTTATCTACATCATACTGTTCATGTTTACGGTTTGTTGTCACTCGTAAGGCCAGCAATATGTCGTCACATCCCAGAATGCAATGCAAAACTGTGTGATGCTGAGTCCTTGATCAACCCAAATACAGGTCCTTCTCAAAAAATTACCATATTGTGATAAAGTTCATTACAACAGGTTGAGCGGGTTGTCCAGTAATCGGAAGGTTGCAGGTTCGATCCCGGCTCCGGACAGAGAATTCTGCTGTTGTGTCCTTGGGCAAGACACTTAACCCACCTTGCCTGCTGGTGGTGGTCGGAGGGTCCGGTGGCGCCTCTGTCAGTGCGCCCCAGGGCAGCTGTGGCTACATCGTAGCTCATCCCCACCAGTGTGTGAATGAGTGTGTGAATGGATGAATGATACACTGCAGTGTAAAGAGCTTTGGAGTCCTTACTCTGAGAGGCGCTAAACAAGTGCGGGTCATTTACCATTTTATCATTTAAACATTAGACTTTCATATTTATTAGATTCATTACACACAACTGAAGTAGTTCAAGCCTTTTATTGTCTCTAATATTGATGATTGTGGCGTACAGCTCATGAAAACCAAGAATTTCTATCTCGAATAAATTAGCATATTTCATCCGACCAATAAAAGAAAAGTGTTTTTAATACAAAATAAGTCTAATTATGTTCAGTTATGCACTCAATACTTGGTCGGGAATCCTTTTGCAGAAATGACTGCTTCAGTGCGGCGTGGCATGGAGGCAATCAGCCTGTGGCGCTGCTGAGGTGTTATGGAGGTCCAGGATGCTTCGATAGCGGCCTTAAGCTCATCCAGAGTGTTGGGTCTTGCGTCTCTCAACTTTCTCTTCACAACATCCCACAGGTTCTCTACGGGGTTCAGGTCAGGAGAGTTGGCAGGCCAGTTGAGCACAGTAATACCATGGTCAGTAAACCATTTACCAGTGGTGTTGGCACTGTGAGCAGGTGCCAGGTCGTGCTGAAAAATGAAATCTTCGTCTCCATAAAGCTTTTCGGCAGATGGAAGCACGAAGTGCTCCAACATCTCCTGATAGCTAGCTGCATTGACCCTGCCCTTGATAAAACACAGTGGACCAACACCAGCAGCTGGCATGGCACCCCAGACCATCACTGACTGTGGGTACTTGACACTGGACTTCAGGCATGTTGGCATTTCCCTCTGCCCAGTCTTCCTCCAGACTCTGGCACCTTGATTTCTGAATGACGTGCAAAATTTGCTTTCATCTGAAAAAAGTACTTTGGACCACTGAGCAACAGTCCAGTGCTGCTTCTCTGTAGCCCAGGTCAGGCGCTTCTGCCGCTGTTTCTGGTTCAAAAGTGGCTTGACCTGGGGAATGCGGCCCCTGTAGCCCATTTCCTGCACACGCCTGTACACGGTGGCTCTGGATGTTTCTACTCCAGACTCAGTCCACTGCTTCTGCAGGTCCCCCAAGGTCTGGAATCGGTCCTTCTCCACAATCTTCCTCAGGGTCCGGTCACCTCTTCTTGTTGTGCAGCGGTTTCTGCCACACTTTTTCCTTCCCACAGACTTCCCACTGAGGTGCCTTGATACAGCACTCTGGGAACAGCCTATTCGTTCAGGAATTTCTTTCTGTGTCTTACCCTCTTGCTTGAGGGTGTCAATGATGGCCTTCTTGACAGCAGTCAGGTCGGCAGTCTTACCCATGATTGCGGTTCTGAGTAATGAACCAGGCTGGGAGTTTTTAAAAGCCTCAGGAATCTTTTGCAGGTGTTTAGAGTTAATTAGTTGATTCAGATGATTAGGTTAATAGCTCGTTTAGAGAACCTTTTCATGATATGCTAATTTTTGAGATAGGAATTTAGGGTTTTCATGAGCTGTATGCCAAAATCATCAATATTAGAAACAATAAAAGGCTCGAACTACTTCAGTTGTGTGTAATGAATCTAATATATATGAAAGTCTAATGTTTATCAGTACATTACAGACAATAATGAACTTTATCACAATATGCTAATTTTTGAGGCCATTTATTCATTTTGGTGCATCGATTATTTGAACATATATAAACAGAAGACAAGGATATACAGTAATAAATATAGTTACCGCACAAGCTTCAGATTATGTAGCAAAACAGAGCTGAGGTAATAACCCAGCTCTACTAGAGTCCTCTTCCTCTTTGGACTTTTCCCTTCAAACGTCACCACAGCCAATCATCTCTCTATTTGGTTCCATCTTCTACATCCTCAACTAACTTTACAAACCCCATCTCCCAGACCCACTTCAGAGTTTATTTTGCATATAAAAAAATACAAGTAAATATTTGACCAATACCCCAATCTAGCTGAAACATTCCTCCAAAGCCCCTAAAACAGTGTTTGGTGTGGCCGGCTTCATGTGGAGAACAAAGTTGCAAATTCTGACGGTCTAAAACATGCCGTCCTCACAGAGCCTGGCTTGGTTTTATTCAAACATCTCATATATAAACATAAACCCACAGCAGCCCCGACTCCCCTGCTGCCTGCACACAGAACACATTCATCCCAAAATGGGCACCATCAGGAGACTCATGGATAAGTGTGTGTGTGGTGGGGGTGGGTGGGGTGCTGCTGCAACTTGAAGGAATCGATTCAGCCACTTGGACTGCTGTAGCTGTGCTGAAGAGTCAGGCAAACACAATGTGTGGTAATCAGATAAAACTGACTCGGTTTTGACATGATGAGCGGTGACTTAATGAGCCCGATCTCTGGCAGGATAAGAGCATTCCTTATGCAAACTTGGGAGGAATCATCCGTGTGGATCTCGTCTGGCTTTTGTAGCTGGCTTTGTGAACTTCAGAGAGGCTTCAAAAACGTCACATCACGTTTATACAGATGTAGTTTGCGTGAATCGGGCAGCTGGGAGACAACTTTTATTCAAACTGCGCCCAGAAGATGCAGAAGAGATGGGTGTTGGAATAGGAGCCGGGATGCTTTCCACAGAAGAATACCACACGAAATCCTAAGATAATGTTACTCTCTAAGCATGCACGCGCATTTTCAGTTATCCCCCCCCCCCCCCCCCAACTGGGGTAACTGGGGGAGGGGTGCACCCCTCTCCCAGCGCAGCCTCCCCCCATAAACCCCTCAAGCTCGCTTCACTTTCCACTTTACATGTCTGAACTACAACAATGTGTTCTTCTGACGCAACACACGTGTGAAAAATGTTCATCCTCGACGAGACTTGGGGGGCACTTTTCACACCATCAGACAAACGTCTCAATTTACAAGCCGAACAATCAGAAAACCGCAGAATTTTACTGGAGAAGTGGGCGCAATTACAGAAGCTCGTCGTTTACTCACCTTGAAGGGAGAACAAGCCAAGAGCGACCATCACGTCCGTGGGGGATTTTCTTACCCTCCGCCGGGTCTCGCTCCTTCCCGGTAGGTCCATAACCGAGCCGAGCCGAGCGGCGCTGTTCCGCTCCCGTCTCGCGCGGCGTCCCAACGGCCGCGCAGAAAGTCAAACACCGGAAAGCTGGAGGTGTAACGCTCCGGGAACCAACCGAGTTTCCTGCGCAGCTCTCCCGGGAAGCCCAACGGCCTTGCTCACCTGGCTGACCGAGAACGCAGGGACATGTGGAACCGACGTTAACGAGCGGGCGTTCAGAGCGAGCTGCAGCCCCGCCGAAAGTTTGAAGCGAAGTTTAAACTTCCAGCTGGCTCGCGGAGGGACGGCTGCTGAGAACTGATACCGCCGTGAGTCATTACAACCCGGTCCGCGTCGCCACCGTCTGCCTCCGCCCCGACCGCCGGACCAGCTCAGCCTTCTGCGGGAGCGAGTTTGCGGCTCCGCGGTGTTTCCAACTCGGTTGGCTTCCTCCCACTCGCTGCCTCCGTGATCGTTTCTGTCCCCACCATCAGGCAGCCACAATTCATACACGTGACTTCCTGAATTACTCTTTTCAAAATAAAATACTTCAAATTGATATTTATTCTAATTACTTTATTCATGTAAAATGTGTGATTTTCTTTTGGGGTAAGGTAAAATATTCAAATTATAGTTGACGTAATTACACCAAATCTACAGCTGTTTTCTTCATTCAATTTGTGCCTAAAAGAGAACTAGAAATTTTATTTTCAAATATCAAACATCCGGTATCAACGTCTAGACTTCCGGCAACTTGATTGTTTATTCCTCCTTTTCCTACAGAGCTGCTTCCGGTACTCCTACCTGTCCCACAATAGGGAATACAACAGTGCGACCTCCTGGTTTAAACTGTGCACTGATTTGATCACCAGAAATTATTTTATTCTATTTAGAGGTCATGTTTGCAAATGAGAAGTGGTTCTCAAACTGTTTACCTGGATAAATTAAAGTTAAATAAATAATTGAAATTTATTTATTAAAAAAATCCAATTATTTATACTTGAGCTAAATTAATTTGGATTAACATAGAGAATTTAGGAAAAATTCTGCTTTATGGCCCATTTATCAATAAACACATTAACGGTAATAACTGTAAATCTTTAACCAATGTGTTGACAAGTAACCTTATTGCTATGAGCCATTTTATCTTTGTTACAAGCGTGTTTAATATGACCAAACTATTTAAGGGGCACACAATTAGTAAATTTGAAATCACCTGAACTCCTGACCTTTAAAAAATAAGTTTCTCCACATCATTTACACTTTTATTTGAAATGTCTCGAGGCATAGTGTCAGCTCTCATGCTCTAATGAACTCTGCTACTGCCTCTCCGTGAGCCAAGAGAGAAAAAGTCTCGACGGCTCTCGGATGAACTCAAAGCAGCACGTGAAGGCTCAGACATGCCGAGAGATTAGCAGCAAGCAGAGAAACCTCAGGCTGACTTCTGGAGGAGGGAAAAATAACAACCTGGCAAGAGCGTTTCCACATTTGTTTGATTATTTTAAGACTTCCTCGGTGGGATTTAAGTTTCATGGCGAAAATAAGCAAACAGAACTTGTTGGCATGTTCAAATTATCAATCAAATCTTAAGTTTTCCAAACTAGAAACAGTATTTTCTCAGAACTGTCAGGCGTCAAGAACAAATAAATGGTCTTTTGAATAAATCGCAAAAAACGCTCTACACAAACTCGTTTTTATTCAAGGATCCACATGAGAGAAAGTGCTTTCAGACTGCATTCATTTAACATTCCTCTGTTAAGGAAAATCATTTTACGTCTGATTATTAACAGTTTTGTACCTACCACTGTCCTGATCGGATCTATAATTTGCACATCTGTGATTGTTTGTCTACAACTCTTATAAAAAGCAGGAAAAGTCTATTCAAAATGAGAGAATTTAAAAGATGCATTACAACATTTCAGCTTTTTAGAGCTTCACAAAAAATGTCCATTAAGCAAACATCCACCTGAGACTTGTGCAAAAATAAAAATCAGATAACGCAGTTATGCATGGCACGAGGGCTCATTCACAATAACCAGCCTTAGATGTTACCCTTGTTATTATAAACAACTTAAAATGTCGTGCTTTTGGTCAGGACCGAGTGTAAAATGCCTCAGAGAGTATTGTTCCTCTACAATAGGAGAGAAACAGATCAGATGAAGGCAAAAAAAACATTCCATCAAACAATAGAAAATAAAGCAGCAGGCTCTTTACAGACACATCCACCAAGTTTTAGGTTGTAAAATGATGTCAGTTGGATAAACAATCCCCCCCCCCCCCCCCCCCCGTTTCTCCAAAACTAACAGACGCTTCACATGTCACACCAATCTCAACAGGCAGGATAATAAACAATAAAATGACACTTTAAATGTGTTCATTACGAAATTCACATCTGAAACCCAGCATGGCAACTTACAGACGCTTGGAATCCTAAAAGAAAGTCTCATGTGGGGAAACGCGCACATAAAACTATCAGATGGCACAGGAAGTAGGGGAGATTTCACATATATCTGAAATCAAAACGAGGGGAGGAAACCATACCAGCACGGGAGACTTCATGGCAACAAATGAACTCAAAGCGCAGGGATTCAGAGATAATTGGCAGAGATGATGTTTGAGAGCAAATTCAGGAGGCACTAAAGTCGCGTCGAAATCTGGAAATAAAGTCATCTGTCAGCAGAAGACAAATTATAAAAACATAGGAGTCATAAAAGGATTTTAGATCATCAGGAGCTGTCGGCTCTAGAAGGTACTGATGGTGTGTGTGGTAGTGTTATTGGACATGGTTACAACTCAGAAGAAGAGTCGACGTTGGGGAGGTGGAGGACTCAGTTTCCAGTGTAAAGGTCCACGGTGCTCGAGCTCAGGCCTCGGCTCTCCCTGAAATTACTGCCTCCTCGAGTCTGGGGGGTTCAAAGCACACATGCATCAAAGAAGGAAAGGGGAATTACTAACAAGTTCGTTCTTATTATTCTAAAGCATTCTTCACCTGGAACGAATCATCACTTGTTTTGTTCAGGTAGTTCAAGGAAGCAGCTCTCTTCATGCTGGTGAAAAAAACAGAAATGTTCATAAAGGATTTTAGATCAGAAACACGACACCTGGCTAGAGAGTAAGACGCTAGACTTGTTTCCCACTAGTGCTTATTAGACATTATGTTTGGTTCTTCTGGGGATTACTTGGTGCTGCGAGGTTCAGGAGGTCCGTTGCCCTGAAGCTTCTTCACCAGCAACTCGCTGCTGCGACGTAAAACATCTCGGAGTTTCCCCAGAGAACCGCTGCGCTGGAGGGCTCCACTGCCATCCTGCAGGAACACACACTCATCAACCCGTCTGTTCACGTCGCACCACAAAAACAAGAGTTCTGCTTTCTACTACAGATGTTTTTTTTTTTGTTTGTTTTAATGGAGTCCTGAAAGCAGGCAGCAAATACCTCTAAACATCTTTAACAGCAACCACATCCAGATGTTTTCTTTGAAATTCTGAATTTAACAGTAACTCATCCATCCACCCAGTAACAGGAGACATAAATATACAGTTACATATTACTGATGCGTATAATGCAGTGCCGGCTGATTACCAGCAGGGGGAGCTGTGGGTAAATATCCTGCTCAGATGTCTACTAATCCCTCTGGCCTGTTGAGGGCTGTGCCAACAACCTGTTTCCGTTTGCAAAGTAAAAGTTTGAAGCAGCGAATGAAGTTAGAAGTTAAACAGACTCAATAAAACATTCTCATAAAAGTAGAAACTACGTTAGAACCACAAAGCTTTCTATAGAAGAAGAAAATATCATTTCTATAGCGCCTCTCAAGATAAAAATCACGAGGCGCTTCACAAAAACAAAAAAAAATGTTAAAATATAAAAGAACATTTAGAAAATGTTTAAAAATATATTTTAAATGAGCAAAAATAGACAATTGGGATTTAAAAGAAAAAATGTAAAGAGAGAGAGAGAGAGTGAACAGGAAAGAGGGGAATCGGTGGATCCTGAGGAAGGTGGAATAGGTGGGGAGAGCAGAATAAAGAGAGAGAGGTGAAGAAGGTCATACAAAAGCCAGCTTGAACGAGTCTTCAGCTGCTTTTTAAAGGAGTCCACTGATCTCAGGCTCAGGGGGAGAGAGTTCCAGAGTCTGGGGGCCACAGCAGCAAAGTGCATTTGCCGTTTTGTTTTCTTAAAAAGTGAGCATGTCAGGGTCAAAGGTCATGAAGACCAGTATTACAGTTAAGAATTACGAAATTAAAGCATCTGTGGGTCATTTTTGTTGCTGTCCAGTGATGCTTGGAACGGCACGAGAGTCTCCTCTACAGGAAATCCACCATTTTTTATGTTGGTGCCTAAAAAAAATAAACCAAAACTTGCTTCCAGACTTAATCTAGCAGGTAAAATAGTAAATGGTGGTCAGAGCGACCGGAGGAACTCGTGTTCGGCACCCTCGTTTCCATCGGTCCCAGGGCAGCTGCGGCTACACTGTAGCTCACCCCCACCAGGGTGTGAATGGATGAATGATCCACTGCTGTTTCGTTTCGTTTTATTGAGATCCTCGTTAGCTTCTGCCAAAGTGCAGATGCTAGTCTTCCTGGGGTCTCATACATTTTCATACAATTGTTTACTTAAGAAAATACCCTACACACACACACACACACACACACACACACACACACACGCACATCCCTAATTCACATAATACCAGTAGCTCAAGATGAAATCACATATCTAGAACAAAATTACATGTATAAACTAATATCGGGAAAGGAGTTAATCACACCAATAAAGATTGAAAATAAAATATAGCAGGATGGTGACATCATGTCCATTGTTTCGTATCATAGCTCATCGATATCCAGTATTCGACCTCAAACCCAGATTCTCAATCCTTCGTTGCAGAGTTCATAGTCACTATACAATTAAGTGTGTAAACAAAAAATTTCAGTTTCTCCTGAAAAGAAATGTTATTACTTTCAAAAATTAAAAATCTAGGTAATGCATTCCATGCAAGCATAGCTTTATAGTGAAAAGATCGTTGAATTTGATTTGTTCTGCTGCGTGGTAAAACACATTTCATCTCATTTATCTGTCGTGTATTATAAGTATGATTATCTAAAAAAAAACAATAATTTGCCATGTATAATTTTTGGTGCTTTTGTAATTATAATTTTCCTCACAGTTGTTACCAAGAAATACTTCAATCTACTCTTCACATCAAGCCAAGCAAGTTTTTCATGCATGGTTCCCACATTCGTTCTGTAAGGGCAGCCTAAAACAATACGAGCAGCTTTATTTTGTGCTACTTGTAGCTTATGCAAATTATTTTCAATTGTACTGGACCAAATAATAGATGCTTGATCTACACAAGAAAGTACTATTGATTGAACAAGGCATTTAAGTAAATATTGTGGTATAAATTTGCAACAAAATTTAATTATGCCCATACCTCTCCCCATTTTGTGTAAAACATAATTAATCTGGCTTGTCCATGATAATTTACTATCAAGCGCGTCACAAGAGCAGGTCGTTAATCACTGCTAATCAATGGGCTGTATTTATAGACACCTTCTAGAGTCTTAGAGGGGGAGTCAGGGTGAGCGTATGAGGCAGAGCCTCCATCTGTCACAAATCTTTAGAGGACAAGTCCAAATAATGGCACGAGTCCAGGGGTGGACTAGGACCAAATTTCGGCCTTGGCATTTTTACAAATCGTCGGCACCCCCCATTGGGAGAGCGGTGGCGGTGGGGTTCTTGCCGCCCGCAGACCTCTCTAGGCCGAATGTGAGATCTAATATGGACTGGGACTGTTAAATTACAAGTAGGGCCAGACCGCTGCGACTGGGAGCCCTGGCCTTCCAGATCAGCTCCTTCTCCACGGGCGGAGATCAGCGGGACATTAGCTACATGCTAACGTGGTAAAACATCTCCCACGTCATCGCTCTACTGCGTTTTTCTTGCTAAAAACGCCTGGAAAGACTCCGTTAGCTTCGGGTTACCATGTAGCTAATGTTCTGCAGATCACCAACTGTGGAGTAGTGTCGGCCCAAGCTGGGCAAGCAGCCCACTTGGCTAAGCGGCCCACCGGGGCAGTGCCAGAATGCCAGATAGGTCAGTCCACCCCTGGACGAGTCTTTGAGGGGAGACTCTTGAGTTAAGGGACGAGTCTTAAAGCAAGTCCCAATCAAGCCACGTCTTCAGGGGCCAAGTCTCTGACTCAGTTCCCCATCTCTGTCCTACTGCCACCAGGAACCGGTGAACATCACAGAACATCGATTCCAGGGGTTTCCTTTAGTGTTTCCATTCAAAGAGAAGCAATGAGAAGACAACCTTCACAAATGAAAAACTTTATTGGAGAATAACAGACGGTGATGCAATAATCTTCACAATGCAGAATGGTTTTCATATATATGTATATAATCAGTCCTACTTGGTGCTTTAAGATCTTACCGTTTATGCTCTTCCACTTATGGAAACAGAATCACACTATGTATATATTTATGCGTGTGTATAGCAATTTTGTCAAGAACAGACGTTCAATAAAAAGTAAGCATTCCACTAACACAAGAATTTGCCCTAACTGTGATGAACACAGTGTGTTTGATCAGAAATGCATTAGTTTACTCAGTGGAAGGAATGAACAATCGAAGCACGTAGCACAACCAAAAGCTGTATAGCGAGCGCTCTGGTTGAATCTAGAAATACAGTCCACGATTACACTTCAGAGATGTTCATGTCATTTACATTCAGTTAAACTGCATAAATAGCACGTAGACTGTCAGGAGACACTGTACTTCTGGAGTCCCGAGAAGAAAAAAATCACCAACATGACAATGTTTACACCTGCAAATGACCGTGTAAGGAAAAAAGGCAACGCACACCATTTGGCTTGGCTTCATTTAAAACACAGTATTCATATTCAAAGTGGGCACCGAAGCACACAAATACTCACAAACTACATTGTTATATATATATATTAAAAAAAAAAACACCAATTGTTACTCTTAAACCAGCAGATCGAGGCAATTCTGGGTATTTATGGCCATAATTCTTAAAGAGCAAGTCACCCCCAAATCACATTTTTTTGCTGATAAACTATATAAAGGAGTGTCTAATCATGCTACAGACACGTGTAGTCAATAATTTGGCAGTTCAGTGCATCTTGGTTAAAATTCAAATATTCTGCCTAAAACTGTCAGTGTTACGCCGTCGTCAGGGAAAAACTCTGCTCTGTATTTGAATTTAAATCTGCCACCGCTATTGGCTAAGAGGTATGCTATGATGTCATCTGGTATATTACAATGTCATAATGCCATTATGAGCCTGTGTGTGTGTGTGTATTTGTTAGCGGCTCCGCCCTCTCGGTCTGCCAAGCAACAGCATTTGTTGCATTTTTCAAACATGAAGTGGGAGTGGAGTAAGTTTCTTGTAGGGGGTGACTTGCTCTTTAAATCGAGAATTACATTTTCTTCTAGTTGGCTGGGATTTGTGTTAACTGCTCCAGTGAAGTCTCTGCTGTCATACTGGATTTACAGCAGCTGCCAATTCCCTTTGAAAAAGTGAGTTATCGTCCGTTTCATGCAGCATTCAGCCTTTATGAACACCATCAAACCAAGGACACCGCGGCAAGTTACCGTGGCAACTGCATCTCTAAGATCTAGCGGATTTTCTGTCAGCTTTGTTCTGTCGTGTTGACCTTTTGTAACTCCTGCCTTCATAATCAGCCACAAAAACAACGTAAAAAGCACTTAAATGTAAACAATTGTCATAGAAAATGAATTAGAAAATCTAAATATAAAAAACAAAAAAGGCAAAAGTCCCTTCTTTAAAGGCTTAATGTCGCTGGGCTGTGGCTGTTGGGGGTTCAAAATTATGAGAAATTAGAAGAATCTTCAGTTGGAATCGCACCAAAACGGTTCATCCAGAAGTTCTGTCAACGTGAATAAATTACAACTTTTGTCCAAATGCAAATCTTCACACTAAAATTTAGCCACATGTCCTAATTTGTTCAGAATTTATCCTCAATATATTTGTAAAAGTCTATTGTTTTCAGTCACAAATTAGCCTAAATATTAAAATAGTAAATATTACATTTTAGATGTTAAATGGCCTGCATTTGTTATAGCGCCTTCTAGAGTCCTAGAATCCCCCGAGGCGCTTTACAACACAGTCCCTCACCCATTCACACCCTGATGGTGATGAGCTACATCATAGGCACCGCTGCCCCGGGGCTCACCGACAGAAGCGAGGCTGCTGTACACAGGCACCACCGGTCCCTCCCGACCACCACCGGCAGCTGGGTTAAGTGTCTTGCCCAAGGACACGACGACAGTGATAAACTGAGTGGGGCTCGAACCTGCAACCTTCCGATTAGGGGACGGGCGCTTAAATCCTCTACCATTGTTGCCCCAGAAGATTGTGAGAATGGTTTAAAGTCTCTTTCCGGTGTATTTCTCTTATCCGATAGCACCGTGTAGTGGCTGACAAGCATATCACACAAATAATTTCTCCTTCCGTTTTGTTAAGATGACGACTTCAGGTTTCTTATTTATTTATGTCCTTCTGTAGCCGACAAACGGAGCTAAAACACGCCGTTTTACGAGTATTATTCTCATGTCATACTGTGTTCTCATATATTTATATTTTGGAGACTTACTTGTCCGTAAAAAGTTCATCAACTCTGCATCAGCCGAGGTATTCCTTAAATTTGTAGCGTCTAAGAGGTAGTCTAACGCTATTGGTTAGCTCTGGTCGGCACTCAGTTTCCTATTGCATGGAGCTCCGCGGGGCAGGGGGCGTGCTTAGCAAAAAAAAGACAAATTGCTTACATTATATCACAGTACATGCGATTGTGGGCGACAGTGGCACAGGAGTTAAGCGCTCGCCCTGTAATCAGAAGGTTGCAGGTTCGAGACCCGCTCAGTCTGTCGCTGTCGTTGTGTCCTTGGGCAAGACACTTAACCCACGTTGCCTGCTGGTGGTGGTCGGAGGGACCGGTGGCGCCAGTGCTCGACAGCCTCGCCTCTGTCAGTGCGTACCAGGGCAGCTGTGGCTACATCGTAGCTCAGCACCACCAGTGTGTGAATGTGTGTGTGAATGGGTGAATGACTGATTGTGTTGTAAAGTGCCTTGGGGGGTTCCAGGACTCTAGAAGGCGCTATATCAAATACAGACCATTTAGCATTTTTACCATTTACATGATAAGAGATTCACTTTTACGGATTTCTGAAAAATCACACATCATTTCTGAAAATGGAAAAACTCCAGAAAGCTGCTTTAAGACGAGTTTTAGATACCGTGAAACCACGGTTAAAGAAAACGAACCTCTCCGAGATCACATAAGGTAACATTAAGATATTTCACAAACTCCCTCTTGAACACCGTTCATGGTTCGCCACCATTCAGTCACAGCCCAGTGACAAACTGGCTTCACTCACAATTAAAGCAGAAGACCCAATGTAAATTCGGTACCATTGATTTTTAAACTGTTTTCCAGCATGTCATTGCAGACGTTTGCTCAAAAGCACAAGGCAGAAAGCAATAATAACTTTTGTTAACCCTCCCACTGTCTTTATGGGTGTGACCCCGCGAGGAAAGTTAACCATTGAGCAGGATTGATGCTCACCCCTGCCACGTGGACCTCAAGGGATAAACTATCAATCCTGCTCAATGGTCAACTTTCCTCGCGGGGTCTGGTGCTCACCCCTGCCACGTGGACCTCAAGGGATAAACCATCAATCCTGCTCAATGGTCAACTTTCCTCGCGGGGTCTGGTGCTCACCCCTGCCACGTGGACCTCAAGGGATAAACCATCAATCCTGCTCAATGGTCAACTTTCCTCGCGGGGTCTGGTGCTCACCCCTGCCACGTGGACCTCAAGGGATAAACCATCAATCCTGCTCAATGGTCAACTTTCCTCGCGGGGTCTGGTGCTCACCCCTGCCACGTGGACCTCAAGGGATAAACCATCAATCCTGCTCAATGGTCAACTTTCCTCGCGGGGTCTGGTGCTCACCCCTGCCACGTGGACCTCAAGGGATAAACCATCAATCCTGCTCAATGGTCAACTTTCCTCGCGGGGTCTGGTGCTTACCCCTGCCACGTGGACCTCAAGGGATAAACCATCAATCCTGCTCAATGGTCAACTTTCCTCGCGGGGTCTGGTGCTCACCCCTGCCACGTGGACCTCAAGGGATAAACCATCAATCCTGCTCAATGGTCAACTTTCCTCGCGGGGTCTGGTGCTCACCCCTGCCACGTGGACCTCAAGGGATAAACCATCAATCCTGCTCAATGGTCAACTTTCCTCGCGGGGTCTGGTGCTCACCCCTGCCACGTGGACCTCAAGGGTTAAACCATCAATCCTGCTCAATGGTCAACTTTCCTGGCGGGGTCTGGTGCTCACCCCTGCCACGTGGACCTCAAGGGATAAACCATCAATCCTGCTCAATGGTCAACTTTCCTCGCGGGGTCTGGTGCTCACCCCTGCCACGTGGACCTCAAGGGATAAACCATCAATCCTGCTCAATGGTCAACTTTCCTGGCGGGGTCTGGTGCTCACCCCTGCCACGTGGACCTCAAGGGATAAACCATCAATCCTGCTCAATGGTCAACTTTCCTGGCGGGGTCTGGTGCTCACCCCTGCCACGTGGACCTCAAGGGATAAACCATCAATCCTGCTCAATGGTCAACTTTCCTCGCGGGGTCTGGTGCTCACCCCTGCCACGTGGACCTCAAGGGATAAACCATCAATCCTGCTCAATGGTCAACTTTCCTCGCGGGGTCACACCCATAAAGACAGTGGGAGGGTTAAACAAAAATAACTAGGAGGCTAAATACAGGCGCCACATCTGCAGCTAAACTAACGTTCGCTTTGTTGCTGTAAAGGTCTGAGTCAAACTTCACAGCACGAGATCATGCAGAATAACGTTTGCAACAATTTTCCTCCGTTGGATTAGACTCTGTGATGGTTAAAAGCTGAATAAAGCAGAAAATGCCACCCAGGCCATTCTTTTTCCCCATCTTCTTCAAATAAATTAACAACTGCGGCAAGACAAACAAACCTAGTACACCCTTGTGAGAAAACAGAAATAAAAAGAAACTGTACGAGCGAGCTCCTCACAGGCATCGATTACACACAGCGGTGTCTTTAAATGTCGAGTGAAGACGGTGGTTAGTGACAGGAAAGGAGGGAAAAGAACGGAGCAGAGATGGAAAGACCAAACGTCCCAGAGGTGACAACCAGGAGGCTCTGCTGCAGGAGGGAGGGGGGGGGGGGCACCAGGAATGGTTTGTTGAGACAGAGGAGGCCAGAGGGAACAACAGCACGCATCCCTTTGTTATTGTGCTGGGGAAGGAGAGAATGATGGAGGAATAATCTTGATGGCTTAGGCCTGATAGAGAAAAAGAGAGAAAAAGACAAAAAAAGCAAACATAGTAAGATTAGAAGATCTGGATAAGGCTTCCTACGCTAAAGACCCAATCTCAGAACCACCGATTTTAAATCTGAATGATGACATAATAAAGCAGAGCAGTGACGCAGCAGGGTGGTGGTTGCAGCCACAGTGACTCGGCACTTTTTATTTTCTCCTGGGGGAACAGGAAAGGCTGAATCTGGCAACACTGCAGACGTAGGACAGCTGCAGTCACTGAGTCAGAGCGTTTACACGTGCGTCACAAATCCCAACTGTTGCCCCAAATAGACTGGTGCAGGTTTTTTTTATAACGCGTTCGTCTGGCTGAAGGCTGACTGATTCAAATCGTGCTGAAGCACCCCGATAACGCAGTAGGAGCCGGACTGCATCTGCCTGTAAAGCCAGGGCAACATCAGTAGCTTCTGGAAGTGCAGAGACTGCGGAAGCAGTCTTCTGATAATATCATCGTCGCATAGGAACTAGTGATGGGAATTCCGGCTCTTTTTAGAGAGCCGGTTCTTTTGGCTCAGCTCACCAAAAAGAGCCGGCTCTTTTGGCTCCCAAGTGGCTCTTCAGATTTTCTGTTGCGTAGAGTACATTTATAACCAAAATAATGCTAAACTATATGTAAAATAATTTACTAATGTAAAAAAAAAAGCAATATATCAAATATTTATCATTTCTATGGATTTAATAACTGAACACTTTAAGAAATCTCCACTTCCCTACTGCTGGCGCTCATTTTCTCACCGTCTTCGTTGCACTCTCCTCTCTCTCGCCTTTTTCCTCCTCCTCATTCCCTTTCGTCTCCCTCCACCCGCATGTGCTCTGCTGTGTGTCTGAGTAAGATCCTCCCTCTTCCCCGCCCCTACTGCTCTGTGTGTGGACAGTCTGGACACACAGTTACACATGTTGACCAATCGCCTGTAGCTTTCGCCAAGGCAGAGGGGAGGGGGGAGGGGAGGGGAGGGGACGGCTCCCAATGACGAGCCGGCTCCCGTCGTTCACTTCAAAGAGTCGGCTCTTAGAGCCGGTTCGTTCGCGACCGACACATCACTAATAGGAACACCTTAGGTGTGTTCTTGCTGTGTCGTGGTTCTAATTCCATGCTTACCTGTTTTGTAGCTACGTTTCGCCGGCTGCCGGCGAAACGTAGCTACAAAACAGGTAAGCAAAACTGTTTCTGTGTTTTAAAAAGAACGAAAGCATGGACATAGGAACACCGTCAAACAGTACAGTAGGTACCAAATTAGCTGTGCTGCAGCCTTGTCTGTTCCTTCGGCAGCTGTGCACATCCCGTTTTAACTCCGCCTGCTTCACTCCCACCAGCGTTTGTTTACGGTTTATGTTCTAACCGGAAGAACGCTGCCACCTACTGCACCGGAGTGGAACTAACTTCATTTGAGAGTTCGGTTTTCTAACGTACATGTGAGCTAGGATAAAGGCTCCCAGGTTATTACTGTAGAGCTACCTAGGTCCACGTAGATGATCACGTAAACGCACCGACTCGCTCTCTCACATGGACATACTCAAGAGGAGCTAAAATCCCATTTTTGTTTGTGTTTTAATGATAAAATTATGATTTCTGTCCAGGAATCCTAATCCTGGGACTAATTATCTCAATGGAAAATGAAATTAAAACACTTTAAGTCACTGTACAACAAGATAATCAGAGAATTCAAACAGGGGGAGTACAATCCACTGACTGAAGATGTGGTTGGATTGATGGGCCGATTGGCTGTCGTGGCTAAAGCAGTCAGACAGGTTAGTGATGGTAGAAGAGGAAAAAAGCAAAAGGATGAAGGTTGACAGGCAGAGCGTTAAATCTGAGCATTCTTTAGTCTAATCATGCAGAACAAAAGCACAACCACAAACATAACAGCTGTCATCTCACCAGTAAGCTCTGTCTGTGTACGGTTGAATAAGAAATAAATGTACATTTGTGTCATCTAAATGACTACACACCCAACAGGAAGCTTAGATTTATCTCATCGCTCACCGCCGTGTTTGCTGTTGGATGACTTTTAAGTAAACTGGAGTAAATACTAACAACTGGTTAGCTTTTAGGGTCAGTCCAATTCAAGATGGCCCCCACAGCTAATCAACCCCAGCCAATGATCATTAGTTCCATTAGGTTTGCAGATGTGGAGCTAAGCTGTGATGTAGCCAAGTCTTCCCGAACACACAGTACAAGCGCCGGCTTATCACGGTTATTGTGTAATAAACTAGATTTTCCGCATGATTCGCGTTCCTTTGAGGTGTCACAGGCCTTTCATTTGAATATGTAAACACTTAGTTTGGCCTCGATAACCAACTTTCTGAATAAAATATTCTAACTTTGACACAAGAATCACAAAATCATCAAATCGGACGGAACATTGAACCAACACATGGGCACATTCGAACATCTGTAAATGGATGGATGGATGGATGGAATTAGTTAAACTTTTAGTTAAAGCACAATCTGACGAGCTTTTATAAACAAGCCATTTACACAGAGAACTCCACTTTGGGATCGTGTCCCGGGCTTTCCACTGGAATACGTAACAGACGCGTTTTGCCCGTGACCTCTCCCCACCGGGAGCGTTTCAGACATGCCGTGCCAGCGGAAGCAATCCAAGCACTGGTCCCGCTGGATCACAGAAGAACTGCAAGATCCCGCGTGATTTCGTCAGTTCACGCGATAACAAGCATGGAGTAAGCCGGCATGGTGTGTCCAAAAGGTGTGTGGTTTAGTTTCTGCTCTTCTTACGGCTTTTCGGCTACGGAGGCTTAAAGGGTAATCACCTCTTTTTCTTTTTTAACGTTAAGCAACTGGAAATCTGCACGTCTTATTCTGAAACTTTCCAGATGTTTCACACGTTTGAGCTTTTGTCTGACCCCTTCCAATGCTGAGCTTGATGCGTTTGGGAAGTGAAACACGTAAAAGTACACCCAGCGCGTAAATGTAGGGAAGCGCTGTGACGCTACGCTTCTCTCCAAGGCGCCCATCGACTAGAGCGGTAGCCATTAGCTGCGTGTTGCTCTTTGCAGACGTTACGCGCCGCTCACGCATCCGTGGAAAGCCGTGGTGTGAATGCAGCTTTTCTTGATGCAACAGTATAGAGCAGCGGCTCTCAGTCCTGGTCCTGGAAGGCCGGTATTCAGCAGGTTTTAGTTTTAATCCTGCTTCAACACGCCTGGTTTCAATCAGCAGGTAATTGACAGGCTTCTGCAGAACCTGACGAGCTGCTGCACATGTGATTCAGCCATTGAATCAAGTGTGTTGGAGCAGAAAAACCACTAAAACATGCTGGATACCAGCCTTCCGGGACCAGGATTGAGAACCGCTGCTATTGATCATGAAGTGCCGGTGTCGGTACAGGATCTGCTCGGGTGCAAAATTGGCTCGGGGTCCGTCGACTGCCGATGACGTCTAAGTAGTTGATTGGCTGAACATGAACCTTACGGAATTACGTAATCACATTACGTTGTTATCACGTTACGTTGTTATCACGTTACGTTGGTCCAGGCAAATCTTTCTATTGGAAAGATGGACAACTTTTACAAAGAAATCCATCATTACCTCTTTGAAAATACACTTTTAGCATAGAGCTGCATGTATATTAGGGCTGAACGATTAACTGCATGTGCAATTAAATTGCGATGTGACAAAAGGAGATTTTCTAATCTCAAAGGCTGCAATTTGGCAGCGAGTGGTTAGCGCAATGCTAATATACATGGAAAAACCCATAGGAATGCTAATGCTAATATCGCCGATTACATTCTTGCAAATTATGAATTAGAAACGTGCCAAATGATTACATTTGGAGTCCAATAGAAAGTAAAAATACCATCAATCAAATAAGTACAGACAGGTATTTTAGTAAAGCCAGAAAACTTTTAACTCCAGAGTTTTGGCTAGCAGCTATGAGCGTAACTGAACTACGCATGGACAAGACGTCAAAAACTCTAAACACAAAATACTTAAATAAACGGGACACACTTCTTTCCTGCAAATACTATTTCACAGGTGTTGCTAATACCTATGATCCTTCAAGGGATGTGCTCAAAGAGGAGTTCAACATTATGAATAAGATAGTGTTTTATTTTACAAATACCATTATAAACACAAACTTACGTCTTAAGAAACATTATTTTAATAACGAAACTGCTAAATTCTTTCCAACAGTATAGATGTGTAGTGTATTTTGTCCGAGTGGGTTTGCCGTACTTTGACGTCATCGGCAGTCGAAGGACCCCGAGCCGATCTTGCACCCGAGCAGATCTTGTACCGACACCGGCACACAAACCGCATGCAAACGCATTACTCTGGGGTGCAAACTGGGACGAATGGACGTGAAGTTACATTTGCCACTGGGAGTTTGGAGAAGCTCCGTTTTTTGTGTGCATTTACAACTCGCTCTCCTTCAGAGAGGGCAGCAGAGATCAGGTTAACAGGTTCAGCCATGGGAACAAAAACTCCAAACACACATGGTGCATTAGTGCGTGTGTTAAGTGAGTGCAGCAGGCTGGCTCATGCACGTCTGCACTGGTGCAGTGAAGGGTGTGGCTGCACTCAAGTGAGAGGAGAGGCACAGGCTCAGGCGAGGCATTTCTGGCAACACCACCCAGAGGGCTTACTTTAGCCGTCACACCTATTCTAGTGTTGTTGTTTTTTTTTATTTAACAGTTACAGATTTAATATCAACGCCCTCCTGTTTGTGTGGAAGGCTGAGCAGCAGAAACATGAGAAACTAAGCGGTGCTTTAGCTGGGTGGTGTTTCGGATGTTGCAGAGGTGCCGAGACTCAGCGTGCGCCTCTGATGTTTCACTCGAGCGGAGGCGTCGACAGCAGAGCGGCCGCTCGTTAAGACACGACTCCTGTTACTGTCGACAAGCAACGAACAAAAACAGGAGCATGTGCTGTAGTCCAAAGCTAGCATGAAAACAGAAGGTGGGCGTGCCAGGACACTCAATCAGCTGTTCCAGGTTAGCCTCGTAATAAAGGCAGGCTGCATGGAGCTGAGGGGCCGGTACAGAAACCCTGCACTTTACTATCATTTCAGGTTGTGGCTCAGATTTGGTGAAGGGCTGGGCACCGCAAGCTTCTTACGGGTTTGGCCTGCAGCTGTTCTGTTGCTGAAGCTGAAAAGTTTGAGAAGTGCTGATTTAAAGCTGTTTTCTGTCTGGTAAAGTGCTGAGTCAGCTGTCAATTTCATGATGAAAAAACCCGACTGCCAACTTATTCGACTTTACAAAATCTCTAATTGTTGACAAAGAAAGTTAAAAACTCCCCTCAAACTTCTTTTGTGTGTGAAAACACTTATAAACTCTATTATTGTTATGATATTCTAATTATCTACAGTGTATCTGCAGGTTTAAGGGAGCCAAATTTAAGACTTTTTAAGACCTTTTTTAAGGCCACTTTCACCAAATTTAAGCTATTTTTAAAATTAAATCTAAGCTATAATCCAATCTATATCCAGCTATTGCCTGGAATCGGTGCTAACCACGTCGTGAACGTGGGATTAGCCATCCAGTTACCATTAAACTTGCACTTCCCCATGGCGCAAGCTCCCACTAGCTTAACCAGCTAATGTGCTCATCTAAAAACAGCCCCCTTTCACAACCAACTGAACGTGTACGGTTCCGCTTACGCCAACATCGCACACAAAAAATGCTGAACACTAACTAGAAATTCACGAAAATTTTTATAGAAATAAAAGAATCTTGTTTATTGGGTCTTTGGTAATTTAAGACCTTTGGAAACTGGATTTAAGGATTATTTGTCATTTTTTAAGGATTTTCAAGGCCTTCAATTTGGAAAAGCTGATTTAAGACTTTTTAAGACTTTAAGGACCCGCGGATACCGTGTATCTACCCAATACAAGTAAAATGAGATGCATTTTATAAATTTGCCACTCGTGCTTTAGAGAATAACCACATCCTTGTTTATTACTTTGATAAAGATTTTTTGTCTTTTTCCAGCAAAAATCCTTAAAAAACATTGGATCCTGGTTGTGGATTTTGTTTGTTTTTTCCTCACAAACGTACTAAAGTACAAGAACACACATGATCCTAGTTTTATTCTCCATTATGCTTTTAATCAAGGACATTTCAGGTAAATCCTGACAGTTTTTTCCTATAAATATGACATTAATCTTGGAGTTTTTTTCCCTCAGTTACTTCTTTACTCTACGCTGACTCTCTAACACCTCATCATACAAATCTAAATAGTCCCTTTATATAAAGAACAACGTTTGTCCTGTACCAGCCCGCACGCTCTGAGGTATTACTAAACGCCACCTGGTTTTGCCAGAGAAGCTGTCGGCCATGTTGACTCTACGATGGTGGATTTGTACTCACCCCGTTCCACTCCACGCCCATACTCACTTCCTCTCCGGTCTCAGAGCCACTCTCATACTTGACGCTGGTCAGGCTGTCTCTGCTCCTCCGCCGGTCTCCCTCTGTGTCCTTCAGAATCTCCACCACACGTGTCTGGTGGATGGGGTCGATGCCCTGACACACAAACGGGTGCAAACCGCCAGTGAAAATAAGAACAACAGACTCTAGCAGGTGGCTACGGGGGAGGGGGATTCAAGTGATTTTATGACCCTTTTAATGCTCTCAAACATTAAAATGACTGTGAGGTGGGAGTGATGTTAGAGGAGGAGAGGTGGAAGCTCCAACAGGGACAAACCACTTACTGTGTTGCTCTGGATCCAAAGCAATGTGGGAAAAGGGAGAGAAACAACATGAGATCTCCGTCCTTACGTGGGGGTGGGGCATGTTTGACTTCACAGAAACTGACACGTTTTTTAAATCTAGACATTTTCCTGATGCCGACCTGTTTGCGAGACCTCGCGGCGCACTCCTCCAGCGTCTCGGCGGCCTCTAGTTTGCCCTGCCGGCGGTACAGGGCGCCCAAGTTCCTCAGGGTGGTGTTGACGGTAGGGCTGCACCCAGAAAGATGATCAGAAATGTTAAAACTACACAAATCATTTTTCAGTGCCTGGAGAACGATTCACTACTAGTCTATATTTAGCAAAAACTCCGTTCAAGTCAGCTACATTTTGAAAAACAACAATTTTAAAGGTCTGACCCTCGTTCTCTCAGGCTTGAGTCACAAAATCTGTTGCACGCAGAAAATGGTTCATCGCCACGTGGAAGCAATAGTCGAACAAACGTGAAAACATAACATTAACTTACATTTTCGACTCGTCAGAACCTTTTTTTGCCATAATTGCGAACAAAACACACCTACGGAAGGGCAATCTGGGAAAACCCAACAAACGACATCCAAAACCCGCCCCGAACTGCCATACACGCTCCCCTCGATAGGCAGCAAACACACAGCTCTACCAGCCGACAGAAGACAGGCTGCGTTCACAAACAGCAAGTCCGTCACATAAATGTTTCCCCATAAAAAACTACTTCTTGTTCAGCTGCTCCAAGCGGAAGACGGGGAAGGCCAGTATGACGGATCAGGATCTAATCATCAAGAACGAGACGTTCACAATGATTGGATGAGGTTTTTCCAGGGTTGTACATTTAACAGGTGATTAAAATTGTTCATTTTTGATAAAACATTAAATATTTTGTTTTGCTCAGTACGTGGAAAGCATTTCAGGCAACACGGCAAAGAAATGCTCCAGAAAAACATCTACTGCACCTATAAGCTTTAGAACACTCATTAGCCTCACCTGTTGACTTTACAGGCCTTGTACCAGCCACCGTACTCTCCATACGGGGTGTTGTCTCGGTGTTTGCCCTGGAAGTAAATTATACAGCAGAGGAAGGAAAAACACATGAAGGGAAGCTGCCGTCACAACTGGATCAGCAAGATTTGCATCCGCGTTTATGTGGATCAACGATCCTCTGGGACTTAAAGGGCTTCTGAGACGCTTTCCTTTAATAAATAATAATCTAGGGGCGGAATCATCTCCAGCTCCTCTACTTCACATTTAGAAACCCATCAGAAATCTTCTGTTGGATGTCACACCGGTGCTTCTCACCTTGCTCATCTCCTCTCTCTCCTCTGCGTGCATCCAGATGGGCTTGTTCTCAGCTGCAGACAAACAGAAGAGGTGATCTACAAACGGCACAGCTGGACTCAAACACTTAGAAATGCTGGTTTATTTCAAATTAACAGATTTTTTAAGCAAAGTTATAGAAAAAAAACACGTTAAAAAGAAAGTCAAATGAAATCCAAGCAGCACCCGGCGTTTAATGATGTAAGTGTTATGTGCTTATTTGATATAGTAGTTAACAGAGATGGGATTCGTGGCGTTAACAAGTCATCTCCATGCCGTGCTTTTCTTCAGCTCAGCAACTAAACCAGAAGAAAAGCGTGGCATGGAGATGACTTATTAATGCCACGAATCCCGTCTCTGGTGGTTAATTGGATACAAAACCAACTTCCGATTAAGATTCATCAGATTTACCTCTAAATAAATTAAAGACTGAAATAGAAATAAAGATCAAAACAATACAAAAATGAGATGAAACGGTACAAAATAATTGGGTGACACGTGAAACAAAAAAAGCCAAAATAAGAAAAGTGTAGAAATAGGCGTGCGACTATTCATATGAGTGAACAATGAAAAACGATTTTCTGCGTAAACAGAGACTCGTCCCAGGGCCACGTGAGAAATAATCCTCGGTGAAAGCCGAGCGGAGCGTTGACTCAGACTCCAGAGAAAAACAACACAAAACATAACGTCTGATGAAAGAGAAGAACTTGACTTTCAGAATAAACAAAAGTCTTCTAAAGGTTTCTGAAGTTCCTCTGAATGATGAGACCTCGGCCCCCTTTTTTACCACAAGACACCAAACCAAGTTTATTTCTATAGCACATTTTAAACAGACGACCACAGTGCTGAACAAAGACACAAGATACAACAACGACAGAAAACAGCATCAAAAAATCAAACAGATACAAGGATTTTAAAAAAAGCAACGGGCCTTAGGAAGTTTGGGGGGGGCGCGAGAAAATGCTCGCTGTCCACAGGATTTATAACGCACTTTGGGAACAGTTAGGAGCACGTGATTGGCTGACCTCAGTGACTGCTGTGGCACATATAGTGTGACGATACTGGACCAACAGGAAGGGGCCTGGACACGAAGAGTTTTATACACAAAGACAAGAACCTTAAACACGACATGGAAGAGCGCGGGCAGCCAAGGGAAGTACAGGAGTGATGTGACTGCTTCTATCCTTATTGGTGAGGGACCAAGCTGCAGCACGGATGACTTGTTTACTCCTATTATGGATGAGTCGGCGTGGTCCAGTCTGGAGGTTATGAATGCACGGATGACTGATTCTAAGTGGGGCCTTTACAGAACAGGTTTAAGGCGAGTTAACCAGCATAGCTGGAAAAAACAGGACCCAACTGTGGCTTTTATCTGTGGGGGTCTGGGTTAACTCAGACCCCCAGGCTAGTGACTAGGGATGCATCGATACCTCTTTTTTCAAAACCGATATGATGCCGATACTTGGATCTGAGTACTCGCCGATGCCCGATACCGATACTTTGACCACACAAAAAAAATGCAATGATATGGAATACAGGTTTTATTTTCTTCTCTGCTTTAAACAGGAAAAGACTGTGAGGTAGATAAAAAGTAAAATATATGAATGGAAATCATCACAAAACTAAAATATTAGGTGAACAGAAATGACAAGTTACAGTGAAGCCATTTTCAAGCAACTGCACTGGTATCAGTTCCTGGTATCGGTTAACTTTTACCGATACCGGTATTGGTATCGGTGCCGATACCGATACCAGTATCGGTGCATCCCTACTAGTGACACAGGACATGAGATTCAGAGGGCAGGACGTGGACGTTGGTTCTTAAGGGGGGAAAGGACTGCATCGGTTTTGGCCCACTGATGTGAGACAGACAGCACATGGTGAAAGAAGAGTACAATCCAGTTGAAGCTTCAGAGTCCACTATGAAGCCTTACCATCCACAGATCCAAACTCCTTCTCATGAGCGCGAGTCAGAATCTCTTTGTAGAGAATCTCAGCCTCCTTGTACTTCCCCTGTTTGAGAAAGCAGGACGCCTGAAGATGGAAGAGAGAATATACAAGTTCAAATCTGATCTAAAAAGTGCCTCATAGGTGTCATTCACTCATTTTGTCAGTAAATCTGCTGTGGTCTCCAGTATTAATGGATGAATGAATGAACGAACGAACGAAGGCCTTGTGAGACGTTTTCTATGGAAAAGTAAAGCTTTGGTGTCCTTTTTCAGGGCTAGAAGGTTGTCAGACTTTTGGCTTTTCTTTCTTGGGTAAAATATTGCAACACTGATGTTTTATGGCCACAAATACCATAAGCCCCAACGTGCTCTGCCATGTTTGTCGAGATCTCCTACTAGCCGAAATACACTCTGTTGTATCTGGGCTGCAAATTCAATACAGCCTTTCTGAGGTCACAGGTCGATGTGTGCGGGGCCATGAATACCAAGACCTGTAAACATGTCGCCGGGATTCTGAAAAACCAATTATCCTCCCCCACCCATCTAGGAAAAAAAACAGGTCCCCGCCACCTTGCTCTAGGCAAAAACAATCCAGAGCACCATGAGGCATTCATAGGCATGCCAAGCCTGTAGACGGCAGTAGTTCCCCAAATCTTCTGGATCTTTGCCGTAAATCTAGGGTTGTCACTGTGTGAAAATGTAACCTCACGGTTATTGTGACCAAAATTATCACGGTTTTCGGTATCGTGGTATTTTTTTTAAACGTGCTACATTTTCACACAACTAAATAAACCCTGTATATCAGGAAAATATTGTCCTCAGTTTGTGTCTAAATTTAGCCTAAAATGTGTTATTTTGTAATTATGTTGTTTATTTGTTTACATATTTCCCCTTTATTCTTTAAAATACCAATATTTGCCCATAACTTCTTATTTTTTGTCTGTTTGATGTCATCATTTTAAAAATATTAGATCAGATGATACTCAGTACTCAAGTAGCCTTCTAATCAGATACTTTTTTACCCTTACTTGAGTAATAAACCCTATATCAGGAAAGTATTGTCCTCGTTTTGTGTCCTTCCAGTGAGCTTTGCAGATGTGGGAAAATGTCATCAGGCAGTAATCATTGTTAAATTCATAATTATTCTCAGAGAGAGACCAACTCTTATCTGCCCCTGGGAGTCCCGTAATGCATAGCGTCATTTCAACATGGCGGTGTCCGCGACACGGTTTATATGCAGGTAGCGGCGCTGCGGCTGCTTTATATAGCGACTCGTTGCGTTCTCCCTCAACCCAAATCCTCGGATCACGCATTTTAGCTAAAACGCTAACGCTAGCTTGCCTTGCGTTGACTGTAGAGTTGTGGGTGATGGTCACGCAGATGTGTCATGAGATTTGAAGCGTTGCTGCCTTTCACAGACACTTTTTCTGCACGTGCTGCAAACAGGATAGCCGTCTTCTATCAGCTGTCCCTCGGCATTATTCAAATATCCAAAAAATGCCCGTACTTCCCACTTTGTCTTCTTTGAGGGATAATAAATGTCCTGAGCGCTGCCGTCTCCTCCTTTGGCCATTATTTCAGCTTTAGCTTCAAGAAAGTTTTGTTGTAAACAACAAAGTGCGCATGTGCCGCCGGCAACTTCAGCAGATGATATGGTGGCTGGTAAGGGTCACCGCGCCTACACCGCAGCCACGGTAATCCACAGAGATAATATATTTTTTTTAAAAACAAGACGGTTATTATTAGTGTCAACTTTTTTACCGGGGTTTACCGCTACACCGGTTACCGTGACAACCCTACGTAAAACATTCCTGACATGTGGAATAACTAGGTGGACAATAACGGTCCTAAGTGTCTTCCTACGCCTGTGGTGATCTACGTAAAGTGGTGATGGAGCTGGTAAAAACAAACAAGAAAGAGTAAACAGGTCGCGTGTGCAGCAGTGTTGTTGCAAAACCTAAAACTCCGATTATTAAAGTCCACAAGCGGAGAATCTACAAGACTCCACTCTGGTTGGAGATTTAGGAATAATTGTTTTTCATGTTGTTTACCTTCACTTTCATGTGGACAACGGGCCAAACCGTATACACGTGTCTTTGTTTTGTGGGACACTGGGTGTAATCGGGAGACGCTGGCTTTTCCTGTCCCGACTGTTTTCCCCATCAGTCTCCTTTCTGCGGCTAAGGCAGGCGATAGGGGTTGAAGAGCACGTTCTAAAAGAACACCTACCGCAAAGTTTTCCACTGAACGAGACCTTTAAATGTGACTCGTGGAGGAGTGCACCGAGCTCCTCCATCAGAAGGAAAACAGGAACTTTTGGTTTTTTGAATCCTGCTGAAGAAAACGGCTCAGGGACAACTCCGCTGAAACAACTAGCTGGGCAGAGCAGGACCTCTGCAGAAAAACACGCCCGCAGAGACTAAACGCCAAAACAAACCATTTCCATTTATAATAAAACCAGTTTACAGCCCACTGATGTTGCTGCAAAGCCAACTCCGTGGAGATGTTTGATCAGGAGCTTTTGGGTGCAGTACAGGTAGTTTTGGCTTCTTTCTTACCAGATTGTTCTTGGTTTTGGCCACGTTGGGATCATCTGGGCCCAGTCTGCACTCGTAGATCTCCAGAGCACGGCAGTAGTAATACTCCACCTCCTCGTATTTGCCCTGATTCTGGCACAGGAGAGCCAGGTTGTTCAGCTGTTTCGCTACATCTGGGTGGTCCTTCCCGAGAACCTGGTGATCATCCAGAAACAAATGTCTTCAACCCTTCGTTCTGCTCCTTCGCCCTTCGGCAGACCTGCCACCTCTACTCAGGATAGCCGCTTCCTTCTCAGAGGAGATCTAATAAAGGCTGGCGGATCAATAGCGTTCATAACCGAGCTCTCAGGCTAAGAGTTTGTAGCCTGCTGAGTTCAGAGGTTTGTCAGTTTGCTCCCCTCCCCCAATGGGTACCTCTTATTTCCCTCCCATCAAGGGAACACCCTAGTGGACATTTCCAACACATTCTAGGAAAAGAATTAGCTCTTTTTCTTACTTTTAGCAGGTGATGCTACAGTGGCTTCTTTGCAACAGCGAGCTGAATGCTCAACGCTACTGCAGGTAGGAGGTGAGGGGCGTGTCCTACCTTTTCTCGGATCTCCAGAGCCCTCTTGCACAGAGGCTCGGCTTCCTTGTACTTCCCTCTCTTCCCGTAAAGCACAGCCAGGTTGTTGAGTGTTGCAGCGACCTGGACAGAAACAGGATTTAGCTACAACAGGAAGTACACTGCAAAGCTCAGGGGCGTTCTACGATCATCTCACGAAGGCATTTTTAGGCCACGTCAGGATTTTGTTGCTCAGGTTAGATCAGATTTCAGAGCACACTCTGATCAGTCGTGAGTGATTACCTCCCCAAATAAAAATCCATTCTTCACAGAGAGAGGGAGGGGAAAGAATCAATAACAAGTGAGAAGGAGAGTAAAGCGACTGCAGGGCTGGTGCTGATGGAGGTGTTCATGTGTACGTGAGGCAGTTAGGGTAACGCTGGAGCCTTACAGCTGGATGGTCTTTGCCCAGGGTCTTTTCGCGGATGGATAGGGCATCGTTGAGCAGATGAGCTGCCTCTTTGTATTTGTTTTGATCCCTGTAACAGTAGAGCAGAAGATAATGAGACAAGAGCGGATTAAAAAACACTTAAAAAGCAGCTGCAGCTTTTTATTCAGACCTGTAGACTAAGGCCAGGATGTTCAGCATGGTGGCGACGTCAGGATGGTCGTGTCCAGAGGTCTTCTCCAAGTCCTCCAGAGCTTGTTTACAGAGGGGCACCGCCACCTCGTAGCGGCCCTGGGAGGCGTACTGGATCACCAGGTTGTGCAGGGTTCTCAGGCGGGCTGGGATCTCATAGCCGCCCTGCTGGGCCGCAGCCACAGCCGCACTGTTGTGTTGGTGCTGCACTGTGGAAAACAACAGCAGCACAAATAAAAAGGTCCGATGTTTGTTTCCAAACGACCAAGCATGAGAACCCAACTGCAGCTTCTGTAACAAAGTCCCAAAACACTTGATCATTTTAAATTCAACGTTCAAGCATTTGGCTCGAATCCTCACTTCCTTGACCCTGGTCCTCTTCGTCGTTGGGGAAGAGGTCATCCAAGTTGTCCTTGGGTGTTTCTTTGTCTTTCTCCTCCTGCTGATTAAACAACACAAACCCGTGATGCAGACTCGACACCAAGAACGACGGAGAGTAGTTCAGATATAACCACAGCATCATCAACGTGGGCCTCACAACAGCAGCTCATTCCTAGAAAGATGACACTTTCTACACACAGGACACAAGGAAATAAAAGACCTCAGCGCTAAAATAACTTGATGTGAGGCAAGGGTCCACTTACAGTGGGCGAGACATCTTCGTCATACTTTTTGAGCTGGTTCATGAACTCCAGGTGCTTCTTCTCCTCCTCCAGCTGCGCCACGTTCTGCTCGCTCTTCTGCAGCTTCTGCTGGGTGTTGGCTAGCTCGTCGCGCAGCCACTGGTTTTCCTGGCAGAGCCTCCTCACCTGCGCGCGCAGCTTCTGCTTCTCAGACTCTACAGCGTTCAGGTGGTTGGACAGGGCCATCATCACCTGGAACAGAGAGCAGCAGAGCAGGGTGGCGGCATTTAGCAGGACTAAGAGGTCGGAGCAACGAAACAGAGCAGCACAAATTAGATCTGAAAGAATCAGGATCACCACAGAAGCTCAGTATCATCTTTAGTTCAGATCAGCGTTTAGCTCACCTGCGCTTCACCCAGACCCAGTTCAATCATCTCCACAGACTTGCGGAGCAAGTTAGACTTTTCGTGGACTAGGTTGGCCTCTTCATCCTTCTTCAGGCACTTGATAGTCTCCAGCAGGCTGTGGAGGATTGAGTTGTGCTCATTCTTCAGGGCCTCAAGGCCTTGGATCACCAGCTTGGTGTTGGAGATGATCTCCTCCTGAGAAAGCTTCTCCAGCTTCTCCTCCCGCGGGTACACCATGGTCGACATCTCCGTAGCTCCAGACAGCTTGGGAGAGAATTCGGAAGAAAAATGGTCAGAAAATGTTTATTCTTGGTGCTAATTCACTGTTTAGTAGGGATGTAAGAAAATATCGATATGGCAATATATCGTGATATTTTTCCCAGCAATATTATATCGATATTCAAAAGCCGTGTATCGGAAATATCGATACGGCAATATATCGTGATATTTTTTCCTGCGATTATTACATTGATATTCAAAAGCCGTGTATCCAATTCCTGAAAGAATTGACATGCAAATATTTGTGTATTTTCTTTTCGTTTTGCGCAATTCAATCGCCACCCGCTAGTTGGCAGCAGTGTGCAGCAGGTTTTGTTTCCACCACTGAAATGTAAATCCCTCCATCATGGTTCAGATACCTCATGGTAAACATGTTACGTATCAGTTTGGACTGTTTATTGAACATTCTTACAATAAATTCAGTAAAAAAAAATTGCTTGTAACGTCTGACTGAATGTATCGCAATATATCGTGATATATCGTATTATCTCCCCTGTATCGTGATATGTATCGTATCGCCAGAATTTCAAAAATACACATCCCTACTGTTTAGCATAAAAGACGACGGCAGCGCGCTTTCAGTTGATGCGAACAGCGGTCGTGTCATGTCTGAGCTCCAGTAAAAAGATCTCCCTTCATCAATGAGAGAAGAGGGTGGGGGGTTTTACCACAACAGACTTAAATTTCATAAGGGGGGCCTGTCTTTCAGGGATGAGCAGCAAATAAGAAAAAAGTCCTCTTACAAAAGGAAAAAGGCAATTATAAAAACAGCAACCACAGCTATAATTTGAGCAGAGGGACACGGGGGAGACGGCTGGGATTTGGCTCCTATAAAAAGCTCTGGCTGGGAGTGGAGCTGCGGGATGCAGCATAACCCACGGCACACAGACGCTGCAGTATCCAAACAGAAGCGGAGCACGAGATCTCCAGGACTGGCTGAGATGATGAGAAGAAAATAAAGACCTGACAAAAGCTTCAGTACAGCTGAGCAAATGAAAAAATGAGAACTCTGGTATTATGTTGAGGAAGGTCAGGTTTTAAGTGAGTGCAACGCAATTCTGATTGGATGTAATTTAATGCTACACCCTAGGAAAAATATACAAAGAGCTCGTCTGTTGAAGAGGTCCTAGAATTCAAAACCACATTTATGTTGTTTTTGTTGAATAAAGGCAGCTCAAAGCAGCTGACCTGTTTTCTATGTTCATTCATAATGTTTTGACTGCCACGGAGAATTGGTTCCTTCTGAGAAAAGCTGGTTTAACACGTCATAAGTAGAGCTGAGGAAAATAATCAAATAATGGATGCATGGGGATGCGGACATAAACGACTCTGCATCGTAGAAGAGTACGCCATAATCGATTAGAGTGGAACGTAGTTTTGTTTTTTTAACCGCGGCACCAGCGCAGCATCCAACTCTGTCAGAGTGAGCGTCCTCCACATTTACCTCCGCCTTTATGTGGTCCTGTAGGGCTGAGCGCTAGAGTTGTAACCTGAGACCAAACCGGAACCGAATCAGCCCGACCGGTTCGGTTGGATTTGGGCCGTGAATTAAGTTAATTGAGCGGGTTGTCGTGCGGCGCGCTCCGCTCGCTCGATCAACGACTGAGAGAGAGAGAGAGAGGATGGGAGGACGCTCCTCCAAACTGATGCTCCAAACATGCGTAATTATTTTCGTCATTTAATTATTATTTCTCCTGGAAGCGCTCAATCAGACCGAGTGCTGTGATGTCGGGAGATCCGGTGTTGGGGAGGGGGCGGGGTCAATGATGGCGGCTGCAGCGTGATCGTCTGTCTCTTTTATTTAGGGACATGGAGAAATTAAAAGGAGAGCGAGATAGAAGATAGAAGTTCTTGTTCCACTTTATTCTTTTGTTTCATGATGATTAACTGACGTTAAATTCAGCTTAAAGAGAAACTGGGAGGAAGCTTTGGTTCATTTTAGGTTACAGGAGGTCTTGTCTCCTATCTGCTCCTCCAGAGACAGCATGAGGGTTACATGGTGAGGGTCACACAGGACAGGTTAGTGGAAAGGTTTGTAGTTAGCTGGTTAGTGAAGGAGATCCATCAGCTGTGTAATTTAACCCTAATCCAGCCCACAGCCTTCTGCTGGTGTTGTTATCAGAAAGAATAAAACACACATCTTAAATATGATTGGAAGTGTAGAATTTGTTTTGTGTTTTATTATTTTCTGCATCAAACAGAACTTGATTCATTCTCCAACATTTCAGAAATGAACCACTGGGTTCAAATAATATAGACTAGCTCTAAATAATAGAATATTTAAATTTTAACTAGAATGCAATAAAGTGCCAAATTATTGACTACACGTGTCTACAAATTTAAATTTTTTTGCCTGAAACTGTCAGGGCTGTGCCGTTGTCAGGTAAAAACTCTGCACTGCAGTTGAATTTAAATCTGCCATCGCTGTTGGCTAAGAGGTACCCTAGAACGTTAGCTGGTACCATATGATGTCACAATTTTGTTGTGAGCCTGTGTGTGTGTGTGTGCGTGCGTGTGCGCATTTGATAGCGGCTCCGCCCTCTCGGCCTGCTAGGCAACAGCATTTGTTGCATTTTTCAAACCGGAAGTGGGGGTGGAGTAATACTATGGTAGGGGGTGACTTGCTCTTTAAAGAATTAGTAAAAAAAAAAATAAATAAATAAATCACTGACAAATAGCTATTAATATTCATAAATATTTTCTGTAAGTTTACCACACAAGGAATTTCTCTACCTTCTATGATAAATAAGTTATTCAAACATGACCTCTAATATGTATTAAACACATTTTAGAAAATGTAATAAATACATTTTTTAAAGGATACAATAATTTGACCCAATTTAAAAAATGACCAGTGTCATCTGTAACAGAATGAAATGACCGTTTTCCACCTAAAAGTCATTTCCCCCTCTCCTCAGCAAGAACTAATCTGCATGAGATATTGCCTCGAGGTCATGCATTTGCTTCTAAACTGATTCCTTTCCAGCCCAAGAGAAGAATGAAGACAAAGGACTCTTTTTTAATAAATCAAAGAACTCTATTTTTAATAAAGCTGATCAAACAAAGTGTTAGTCAATAATAGGATGTTGACCAATCTGTGAAATGACAATGTTATGATTAGCAAGTTTAATATGTAATATGACTAAAACCAGTCCCCACGTCATCTTAGTTCAGTTCTAGGAGTTCTCTGCAGTTCACTGCATGCTAAGAGAAGTATCGGACCGGCCACCCGGACTTCCTTTTTAAGCAAAGAACCGACAAGCTGGATAAAATCTGTTGCATTTTACCAACCAAGCAATGGTTCCTTTCAGAATAAAAGCTGAACTCACTGACCCTCCGGGTCCATCTGACGCTGTCAGCCAACTGTCGCTTTTTACCTGGAGACAATCCAAAGACTAGTCTGTCGTACTGCTGACGCTGTTTCATCGGCTCTGGTACCGAAAGGGGGGTCTGAGGACCTGGCATTCTGGATCTGTACGGAGGTCTCATCCTAAGGGTATGTGTGGAGCGACAAAATGGCGTCTTATGTGTTTAAGAAACTCCGATCATAGCTTAAGAGCAAAACATCACAACATCACCCAGACGTGCTTCTCCGGATACGAGAGTTCTGATGACAAACATCACTCACACATACACCATTCATCTCACGTCTCATTCACACCAAGATCCATCCATTCACTTAGAGTTTAGAGCTAGTCTTGTTTAAAATTGTTTAGAAATAAATCTTCTGAAACGTTTTAAAGGTGACTCTCTCTTCTGTTGTCTCTCGGTTAATACGAAGTGTTACATAATCCCTGCAATAAAAAGTTCCAGTCTTCTGATTAAAAGTACCCAAAGATCTGTAAGATTGATTTCATATTTACTATGGAATCTTATTTCTTATGGTTCATTAAATAGATTTAAATTAAACCCCTTACACATCACTGAGGAACAAAAAAAAGACCGTCTATGCAAACGCTACAGGCTAACTGAGATAAACATCTGTTTGCATAGTCAAAAAGGACATTGACAGCACATTACTGGTCAAAAGCTCATTTACATTCATGCCTGTTACATACAGGTTGGGAGGTCTAACCAAAGTCAAGTTAAGGCAGGAATATTAAGATGTCACCATTTCTCTCTTATTAGATCTGCCATCAAAGCTGCTGGCTCCTCAGAACACCAAATAAACCATTCTCTTTGAGAAGATCACACAGATATTTACCCTGTGGAGTAACTCTGCATCTCCTAACACAATTCAATTCAAATTCAATTCAAAAATACTTTATTAATCCCAGAGGGAAATTGATTGCTGTAGTAGCTCAGAATAGTAAATAATAATCAAGTCATCAAAGAGTTGTTGTATATTACAATGGTTGTTGGCAGGAAGGATCTCCAGTAGCGGTCAGTGTTGCAGCCAAACAGAAGAAGCCTCTGACTGAAGACACTCTTCCGTTGTCGGACAGTCTTGTGAAGAGAATGCTCAGGGTTGTCCATCATTTTCTTGATTCTCTGGAGAATCCTTCTTTGCATTATCTCCTCCAGTGGTTCCACAGTCGTCCCCAGAACAGAACCAGCCTTTGTTATTAGGCTGTTGAGCCTTTTCAGGTCCCTGCTTCTGATGCTGCTACCCCAACAGACGATGGCTGAAGAGATTACACTCTCAACAACAGACTTGTAGAAGATCTGCAGCATCTTGCTACAGACATTGAAGGGCCTAAGCGTCCTCAAGAAGGGCAGTCTGCTGTGTCCCTTCTTGTAAACGGCTTCGCTGTTCTTTCTCCAGTCCAGTCTGTTGTCCAGGTGAACTCCAAGGTATTTGTATTCCTCAACCACCTCCACTTCTTCTCCCATGATGGAAACAGTGTTTGACTCCACCCTGTTTCTTCTGAAGTCTAAAATCATCTCCTTTGTTTTGTCCACGTTCAAGGTCAGATGATTGTTTCCACACCATGCCACAAAGCGCTCCACCAGCTCTCGGTACTCAGCTTCCTGTCCATCTCTGATAAACCCGACAACTGCAGAGTCATCTGAGTATTTCTGTAGATGACAGGTCTCTGACTTGTACTGGAAGTCTGAGGTGTACAGGGTGAAAAGGAATGGTGAGAGTACAGTCCCCTGTGGTGCTCCAATGTTACTGATCACCTGGTTTGATGTGCAGTTCTTCAGCCTCACAAACTGTGGTCTGTTTGTCAGGTAGTCTTTAATCCAGGCGATAGCTGAGGCCCCCACCTGTGTCTTCTGGAGTTTCTGGCAAAGTACATCAGGCTGGATTGTGTTAAATGCACTGGAGAAATCAAAGAACATGACCCTCACAGTGCTGCCTGCTTTGTCCAGATGACAGTGGGTTGGTTGAAGCAGCTGGATGATGGCATCTTCAACTCCAACTCCATGGCGATAAGCAAACTGCAGCGGGTCCTGATATGTTCTAGTTTGCTTATTCAGGTGGACCAACAGGAGTCTCTCCAGGACCTTCATGATGTGGGATGTTAGGGCAACTGGTCTGTAGTCGTCATTGACTGATGGGTGGATTTTCTTTGGAACTGGAACAAGGCAGGATGTCTTCCACAGGACTGGAACCTTCTCCTGGGTCAGGCTGAGGTTGAAGAGGTGCTGCAGAATCCCACAGAGCTGCTCTGCACAGGCCTTCAGTACTCTGGGGCAGACACTATCTGGACCTGCAGCCATGTTCCTGTTCAGTCTCTCCAGCTGCCTCTTCACCTGACTTCTAGAGACAGATAGGTGGGAGGGGGAGGTAAATGGGGCAGCAGCATCTCCTGACTTGGTTGAAGACAGATTTATAGAACCAGAAGAGCCCATGACTGCGTTAGAGGACAAAAGAGCTGGCGTGTGACAGGAACATGTTGGATCAGAGGAGGATGAGATGTCTGATTGGCTGGGGACAGGCAGGGAGGATGCTGGGTTTGTTCCTGAACTGAACCTATTGAAGAACTTGTTCAGTTCAGTTGCTTCTGTATACTCCTCAATAATTCCCTGTGTCCCTCCTTGAAGGCTCTTTTTCTTCTCATTTAGCAGATTCTTCAGTTCACTGGTGATCCAGAGTTTGTTTTTAGCGAAGCATCTCACTGTTCTGGTGAGTATGATGTTGTCCACACAGAAGTTTATATAGTCAGTGACACACCAGTCATGGCATTGATGTCCTCTTCATATCTGTGGCAGAGTCTCATCCAATCTGTGGTCTCAAAACAACCCTGCAGGGCTTCTTCAACGTCCTGTGACCATTTTCTAACAGTTTTTCTTGTCACAGGTTGCCTCTGAACAAGAGGTTTGTATTCCGAGCAGAGAAAAACAAGATTGTGATCTGATTGTCCCAGAGGAGGTCTTGTTTTGGACATGTACGCATTCTTTACATTTGCATAACACAAATCCAATGTCTTGTTTTCTCTGGTGGAGCAGCTGACAAACTGTTGAAATGTTGGAAGTGTAGCAGAGAGTGAGGCATGATTAAAATCACCAGATTTAGCCACAAATGCATTGAGGTGCTGGGTTTGTAGCTTAACGGCAACGGAACTGATGGCATCACATGCATTTTCAGCAATGGCAATGGCTGAAGGTGGAATATAAACGGTTGCCAAGACAACACTGGTGAACTCTCTTGGCAACACCTGTGTGGATGAAAGGACCCACTAGCTCTGGATACAGGAGAGCTAATAAAAAGAAACGCTTTCATGTCAGCCTGCATCCGTTTCAAGATCAAATACCCAAGCACCTGTTGAAAGACTCACTGTCTCTCCTCAGGCAGAGGGAGTTAATATTCGACATGTTTTTACAGAGGTGAGAAAGTCCAGCAGCTATGATGCTTCTCCCTTGAAGAGGCTGCCTTCCTATTAATCTTTAATCTTTTTATGAATGCATTTTTTAACCCTCTCTGTCATCAAACAGCATCATACAAAGGAACCGCCTTCACTGAAATTAAACTACGCTTTTTACATCATGCAGCTTGGTGTGCTCACTTGGGTTTTTATTCAAATGCTTTCCTTAACACGTTCAGACGAGAGGAGCTATAATTCAGTCAGTGTTAATGGCTGTGAATGGGACCGCGGGTGATGAGGAAATGTATTTTTAACAAATCTCTCTGCTCAAATCTACTTGCTCAACCTTTTTAATATGCAAACTGCACAGAAAAATAAAACCACTTGACAGATGCTCCCATCTTCCACTGGTACTTTGCAACAGATGGGGTATATTACAAATGTAGCTTGATAAATAGGATTTTATTGCTGTTATCCTAAAGCATTAGAATAAGCCTGTAGCTTAAAGGCAAAAGCTCAAAAAAACATAAACAGCAAACACAATATGATGTTTTAACTATTGTCCACTCCCTTTACAAAACCTATAGAATGCTGCTAATTTTTCATGTCATGTTAGTAAATTTGTCACGTGCTACACGGTGTCAAAATAAAGAAACAAACCTTTGTTTTTGTCGCAAAGCAGAGCCTCAAGAGAAAAACTGGTGAAATAATGTCTCCTCCCCAGCAAGAGCACTAAACACCCACAAAGATCACCGTCCTCTTCAAAATTAAAGAAGGAGAGTGAAACAGAGGAAAACAGGACTGTAACGAGACAGCGACGATGCTGCAGAGGAAGAGGAGAAGGGGAGCCGGCTGTAGGATGACTGTGACCTTCCCTCTGCTTCGTCAGAACAACCAGCATCAGCTCTCTGGGCCAGCCCACGGCAGGATGAAAACAGAGGAGCTACTGGGAGGGGGATGGAGCCAGCTCTGCTCCGCTCCTGCATATTTTAATGGATATTTCATGGAGGTGGACTAATCTCCATGACACCATTTACTGAAGAGCCTGAAAACGGTTTGCAGAACAAAATCACCACTCTGCTTTAAATCTATATGGAAACCTTTAACTGATCGTCTTGTGTAGGGTTTAAAAGACAAACCCATTAAATTAGAGAGGAATGTGTGTAGCAACTAGCTTTTGACATTATACGACATGAATTTTATAGATACGTTTGTTAACTCCAATCTGCAGTGTTCAAAGGTCATAATATTGCTGCAAGTCAATAGAAGTAAGTAGAGTTTTGTGACTGCTCTAAATGCTTTGTCATGTTTGACTCATCACAAAGCAGCAAAAATCACATAATTACACAATCATCACTAATTTATCCTCATTCCTCTCTATGCTCTAATTAAGACAATGTAAAGATTTGCTAATCTTACAACAGGAGATCAACTATACTGGCTCAGCTTGAACAAAAATGCTGCAATGCAATCCTCTTGAATAGCTAAACACCAAGATGCAGAACAGAGCCCGTGGACCTGGACTGCAGTGGGTGCAAAAACAAGCCAAATGCTGAGCTCAGAACCATATCCACGTTGATGAGTTTCCAGTCCACTGGATGTGGAAAGGTCGTTTCCTGCACAAACATCGATCCAACTAAGATTTTGTAACACAGTGCCGGACACAAAGAGGAGACAGCCATCCGTGAGGGTGTGGCAGAGCAGAAGGGAAGTGACACTGACTCTGTCCAGTCATCCAGCCCTCCCAGGAACCAGCTGTTTTCACAAACTGGGCATCTGAAAAATGTCTGCCTGGATGTTGCCACATAATTTACACAGTAAACCCCTCTTTGGGCTTCATCATTCTTAAAGGAATTAAAAAATAAAACAGCTGTGACCTCACATCAACGCAAAACCACTTAATTTTATTTTCTGTAACTAGCTAACCTAACCGAACTCTAGTTTACTGTAATCAGGCGTGTGTTTAGAAGACTTCCATAGTATTTATCAGTTAAAAAGCATTATTTCATTAGCTGAATCTAATAATTGGATCAGATGTTGTCTAGTTTTCACAAATACATTCAACGACAAACACGAGAGCAGTTTATGTGCTTTGCCTCGTGTGTTTAGTTATGTTACTTTCTGCAGAAACGGCCAACTTCATGATGACGCATACCATCAGATGTCGTGTTTTTCCTCAGCGACTAGTTAGCTCAGCGGCTAACCGGTTAGCATCACCACTCCCAAGCTATTAGCTTCCAGTTCGCTCTGTTTTTTCCACCCAGCTAACCACTTCTGCACAAGAACAAGTTCAAGAATGCTGTCTGAACACAAGCTTAGCAGAGCTGTGATAACTGAAAGTGAAAATGCATCTTTTTACTCACCAAGAGCTAGGACTGACGGCTAGCTCAGCCCCTTTAAATCCAAAATGTCTCCTACGCAGCAAGATTTACCCATAAGGCTTTGCGACTGCTGTTACGTTATGTTTTGTTTTTGTGCAGTCAGTTATTTTCAAAAGCATGCAACATTCTTACCGCGTTTCCTGCTAATATAATTTGTCCTTGATGATGGAAAACCTTCAGTGGTAATTTAGCTCAACAGTAAAACTGATCACGGTATTTTAAATACTTTTACTACTTTTAAAAGCTCATTCTGGCACTGAATGACAATTTGAAAATGAAGGGACATTGTTTATAGTGCTCTGTAGTAAAGTAATAAACATTAACTAAAGTGAACTAAAAATAAACTAGGCTAAATACGTTTAGCTTTTTTCCCGGAACTGCGCTGCTCTGGGCGGCTGCATGTTGGAGTAGCTCTGTTGACTATGTGTAAGTTTTGCCTTTTCTTGGGCATTTTTTCTTCTAGTTTCTCAAGAAAAACTGTATTTTTTGGACACTTTACGTTCCTGTTTCTGGAGCTGTGAAGCTTGGAGGATTTTTACTGCTATCTTTTTAGCTTTTTTCACTTTTTGAGCATTTGTTATGATGCGTAACCATGGCAACAAGCTGATTTACAATCGGGAGCAGCTGATTAACATTGGAAAGGCTGAAATAATACCTCAACTGAAGCCACAAGTCCCAAATGAGCTAAAACGCAAGAAGCGTGGGTGCAGAGCGGGAGCAAAACGGAGACAGAGAAAGAGGAAATTCAAACCATCTCTTCCATCGATCATAATGGGCAACGTGAGATCACTGGCCAACAAGATGGAGGAACTCCAAGCCCTTTCAAGGACTCAGCCAGCCAGAGTTTCGGCAGTTTTGCAAACGCTGGAGGAGATAATGCAAAGAAGGATCCTCCAGAGAATCAAGAAAATGATGGACAACCCTGAGCATTCTCTTCACAAGACTGTCCGACAACGGAAGAGTGTCTTCAGTCAGAGGCTTCTTCAGTTTGGCTGCAACACTGACCGCTACTGGAGATCCTTCCTGCCAACAGCCATTGTAATATACAACAACTCTTTGATGACTTGATTATTATTATTATTCACAGTTACTACAGCAATCAATTTCCTTCTGGGATTAATAAAGTATTTTTGAATTGAATTGAATTGAAATAGTTACGTTAGAAGAATGCTAAAACTACTCTGTAATGTTGTACATTGGATCTATTAGAGTCATGGTGGACAAAGCTAAAAGGAGGCATCAAAAGTTTTTTTTAATTGCAGAAAAGCATATTTACATTACAAATAAGGCGAACATGCCAATGTATTCAGATGAGAATCGAACAGTCAGTGAAAAGGGGGAGGACAGAAAAAAAACACACAAAAACAAACAATGCAAGGGACCACTACACAGTTCCAGGAAGTCTACACAAAAGTCTATACATATCTTCATAGCTGTTATTATTGATACATTTAAGGGATCTTAGATACAATCTAAAACCGTGTACAAATGCATTAAACACAGGGGTGATTTCAGTATTTTTTGTTTATGTATGAAGAATTTTGCCAGACAGAGAAGTAGATTGTAGCAGAGTTCTTGGTTGTTTGTTTGAAGGAGAGGTCCAAAGGTGACGACATCTCTTGAAATGGGACATGGGATTCCAATCTGAGGTTGAATCCAGTTTTCAAAACAGTTCCAAAACGTCCGTGTCTTGTTGCATTCAAAGAAAATATGATCAGTTGTTTCAACATCCTTCCCACAAAAGGAACATGAATTATCATCAATGTTAAAACGTTTTCTGAGCAGATCCTTTGAGGGATAGACATTGTTTAAAAATTTTAAAATGTGTTTCTTTGACTTTAGGTTGAACAGGAAGTTTTAAATAAAGAGTCCTTAGTTTAATAATGGAGCTTTTACCAAATTTGTAAATTATGTTGTTCTTGTTGACTTTACAAGGGTATAGTTGATCAGTAAAACACCGTCTAATAAATTGGTTGGTATACTTTTTATCCATAAGGGGAATACCTTGGATGGAGATAGAACCATACTGTGGATTTATAGGTTGGTGTTGAATAATGTTTCTGTACTGGAAGACCACCTCTTTAGGAAGCGCTATTAATAATTTTGTAAAATCAGATTTAGGAGGGCTAAAGTTATATTTAAGACAAAATTCATCATACCCTAGTAGTTCACCATTATCTTTCATCAAGTGTACAACAGACCAAATTTTCCTATTCATCCAATCTTCATAAAATAGTGACCTATTAAGGCATAATACATATCTATTGTTCCAAATTATAGAAGAGTGAGGGGAGTAATTATGTACATACAACAACTTCCAATACATTAGTACTTGTTTGTGGAACTCTGATAATTTTGTGGGCAGTTTGTTTATATCAAAATCTGATAACAGTAAAATTTTTAGACCACCCATTTTGTTAAATATACGACTGGGGATAGAATACCAGAAAGTGTTCGGATTCTTGAGCCATGATTTTAGCCGATTAATTTTGAGTGTTCCGTTAAGGCAATTGAAATCTATTACTTTTAAGCCTCCATCTTTAATTTCTTTGACCATTTGATCTTTCTTTATAAAGTGTGGCTTATTTCTCCAAATGAAGTTAAAATTGGTTGTGTTAATCTTTTTAATTAGGTCGTTTGAAATTGCAGTGCTGCAGGTTGGATAAACTAATCGAGATATACTCTCCATTTTGGTTAAATAAATGCGCCCTAATATAGAGAGATCCCTCTGAAGCCAAATATTTAGTTTGGCTTTAATTTCATTACGTTTATTTGTTATGTTTGTCCTTAGGTTAAATTGTTGGTCTTTAGAAATATATGTTCCTAGATATTTAATTTCGGATTTGATGGGAATGTTACAAATTTCTTTTAGAGGGGAGTCATGAATAGCCAATAGTTCGCATTTTTTCAAATTTAGCTTAAAGAGCAAGTCACCCCCTACAAGAAACTTACTTCACTCCCACTTCATGTTTGAAAAATGCAACAAATGCTGTTGCTTGGCAGACCGAGAGGGTGGAGCCGCTAACAAATACACACACACAGGCTCACAATGGCATTATGACATCATAATGTACCAGATGACATCATAGCATACCTCTTAGCCAATAGCGGTGGCAGACTTAAATTCAAATACAGTGCAGAATTTTTCCCTGACGACGGCGCAACACTGACAGTTTTAGGCAGAATATTTGAATTTTAACCAAGATGCACTGAACTGCCAAATTATTGACTACACGTGTCTGCAGCATGATTAGACACTCCTTTATATAGTTTATCAGGGAAAAAAAAAGTGATTTGGGGGTGACTTGCTCTTTAAGTCCACATGCTGCAGAGAATAGCTTGATTTTATCAACAGCAATAGGAATTTGTTTATAATCTTTTAAGAAAAGCGTGGTGTCATCCGCTAATTGACTTATGATCAACTCTGTGCCAAGGACATTTAACTTTTTTAGATCCACACAGTTTTTTAAGTAGCTTGCTATCATTTCACTAACTAATATGAAAAGGCAAGGAGAAATTGGGCAGCCTTGTGGTATGCCCACAGAGACATTGAACCTGGGGGTGGAACCTCTGGGTAATGAAACACAGCTGCTGATATTCCGATACAAACCTCTGATTAGATTAGTAAAGCCAAGATGTTCTAGAACTGAGAAGATAAATTGGTGTTCCACTGAATCGAATGCTTTATAGAAATCTAAAAATAGTGTGAAAACGTCATCATTTATCATATCACTGTATTCAATAATATCCATTACCAGTCTTATATTGTTGTGAATAGATCTTCCTTTTAAAAAACCTGACTGTGTTTCCGAAACAATATCTGAAATTCCAGATTGAAGACGTATCTTGAAAATGTAAGTCAGAAGTTTATAATCTGTATTTCTTAGGGTAATTGGTCTTCTGTTTTCAATAATCCTATGGTCTTTATCTGCTTTTGGAATTGATATCATTACACCGTGTCGCATTGTAGGAGGGAGATCGCAGGATTCAAAAATCTCTGAGAAAACACCAAACAGTAAATCTTTTATTTCTTCCCAGAACTGATGGTAGAAGTTGGCTGTAAGTCCATCTGGACCGGGAGCTTTGTTCAGGCATAGTCGCTTCACAGCTTCATCCAACTCTAAGCTTGTTATGTTGTCATCACATAAAAGTCTGAAGTCATCACTGATTTTAGGAATATGCATTTCAATACTGCTCAGGAAGTTATTACAATTTTCTTCAGAGAATTTTGAGGAGTACAAATTGTCATAAAATTTAAGAATTTCCTTTGAAATTATCTCGTCATCCGTAATTTCTATATTATTTATCAATATCGATTTTATACTGTTCTGTTTTTGTCTCTTTTCCAGATTACAGAAGTATGCATTATTCTTTTCACCCTCCTCAAAAGTGTGGAGAATCAAATGTCGATGAGCAATACTGCCACCTACAGGCGGATTGTGTTATCGGTCAGCGAACACCAACACAACAAAGAAAATAACCTTGTAATATTTTATAAATTATTATGTATGATTTGTAAGAAAAAGAGAATTCATATAACCTTGAGGAATATGTCGTGTTTTAAAATAAAAGGGAACGAGAAAACACTTCTTTACGTCATCAGCGAGCGACGTCGCGTGCAGGTCTGTGAAGGACGCCGACGAGAAGTTCGGCATAAAAAGAACTAAAATATTACGGTTAGCTCAGTTTTATGAATACTTTTGGATTTTGCGGTGGGTTTTATTTGACAGCGATATTTTAGTGGTGTTGGATTACTGTTACTGCAAACTAGGGCGAGTCTCCTCGCCGAACTAATCCACAGAAACGAGTTGTGGTGCATTTATGTGTCAGAATGGAAATGTTACTTAGATAAAACAACACCTTATAGTTGCCCACACGCGAGACCTGTTAACTTATTAAATAACCACACTTAAAGCTAATTTCTTATATTGATGCGTGCTGATGTAGGCGTTTTCTGATCGATTCTTCTTCTTTCCTTTACTCCCTGCAGGACGTCATCATGGCGTTATCCTGTTTAACTCGAGCTCTGCGCAGCCTGACTCTCTCCCAGCCTGTTTTGCTCTCCTCCCAGGTAAACCACCCCTGACAGCCAGAGTCTAAAACCAGTCAAATTCCTATGCTTCGGGACGCTGGAGCACTGGCAATAAAGCTTTCTGATTCTAAACCCATCAGCCTGTTTTAGAAGTCTCCTTTATTTTTGTTGTTGCAGGTGAAGCTGGGAACTCTGGGAACGAACACAGTCAGCCAGTGCAGAGGTTTCCTCACCACAGCCTCTTTGGAGCAGAACAGAACATTTTGGAAGCAGAGGGAGAAGTACAGTATTAAACCAATGGGGATGAAAAAGACTGGCGGCAGAGATCACACAGGTAAAGTCTGCCAAAAGCTTTACTTTCTATTATTTAAATTCATTTTCTGTCATTTACTAGTCAGAAATATATTAGAATCAGTCCTTATGATTGTCCTCAGTCAGGATTTCCTGTTTTTCTGGTGTCTGATGTCAGTCAGACACAGAAATTAGACTGTTTTTGCAAACATTTTATTATTTAGATATAAAAAAAATCATGGTAGACCATTCTTTATCTAAATATGACTAAAAACCATAAAAAATAGTTTCTCTTTAACATTTTATTCATCTCTATAAATTGTTTTGCTACAAACCATCAAAACCGCAGAGAAAAAAACCTAAACCGGAACTGAACCCACTGCAATTTTCATATAAACCGAACATGGGGGTGGACGTGCTCATCTACCTGCAGCACCAGGCGCCGACTCACCTCGAGATGCAAAAAAGCACTGTGAGAATTATGTTCTTCGACTTCTCAAGTACCTTCAACACCATCCAGCCGCGTTTACTGCAGCAGAAGATGAGGGGTGCAGGAGTGGACGAACATCTGACTGCATGGACCATCAACTACCTCACCAACAGGCCACAATATGTGAGGCTGCACAACTGTACGTCTGAGGTGGTTGTGTGCAGTACTGGAGCTCCACAGGGTACGGCGCTCTCACCCTCTCTCTTCACCTTGTACACCTCAGACTTCACCTACAACACCAGCAGCTGTCACCACCAGGGATTCTCTGATGACTCGGCCATTGTTGGCTGTGTGTATGAGGGGATTGACGAGGAGTAGAGGTCAGTCATCATGGACTTTGTTGACTGGTGTGTGTGTAATCACCGTCGCTTGAACACCAGTAAGACAAAGGAAATGGTGATTGACTTTCGATGATGACGCGCCGTGATCGGAAGGTCGCAGGTTCAAGCCCCGCTCAGTCTGCTGGTGGTGTGATGCGCACTGGATTCAGTTAAGATGTGTGAAAGGGGGATGCTGGGGAAGATGACCGTCTTAAAAAAAACACTCACCCACTGCGGAGACCGTGGACGGCTCCATCAGAGGCATCTCCGATGTAAAACAGAACGCTACCACAGGTCATTCATCCCCTCTGCAGTAAGAGTGTAGAACTCCTCAGTTTAACTGGTGCTGGCATGATCCTGGTGCACAATAACATCACGACAATACTGGATTTACATTGTATGCCTGTATCCCTTACAGTATGCTGCTTGGCTCTGGAACCCAAGTTCATCATTTTTTATTTGTGGTTTTTAGTGGTTGAAGGTTACAACACTAGCTTCCTGCCCGTATGTACATACATGAACCTTTACTATTGTTCTACTAATGTAACAAGTGAATTTCTCCACCGTGGGATCAATAAAGTCAATTCTATTCTAAACACAACCTGAAGCAGACCGTTTAGCTGATAAAAGCCTAATCTCTCCTTTGCTGTAGTTCTTCAATATTTGGAATCAGCCTGTGAAAGGTCTCCAGACTGAATGAAGGCCAATCAGATGACTGGTCTTCATTCGAGAAATTGGCTTAAGTTTCTATTTTGGCGAGCACAAGGATCATTTGAGCAGCTAGCATGTGGAAAGTATTTAGAAAGCTTGTGATTCTCGTTTCCCTCACAGGAAAGATCCGCACACATGGCATCGGCGGCGGCCACAAACAAAGGTACCGATGGATAGACTTCCAGAGGCTGCGCTATGAAGCAGACAAAGAGGGCCAGCCCTTTGAAGAAAAGGTTGTCGAGGTTCGATACGATCCGTGCAGGTAAGACCAACTGGTCACCGGTTGTTTAATCAGATGCACCAACGATTGTGACAGTAAGGAGCTTTTTCTTTGTCAAAAGGTCGGCGGACATAGCTCTGGTGGCGAGTGGTAACCGTAAGCGATGGATCATCGCGACAGAGAACATGCAGGTCGGAGACCTCATTAAAACATCCAACGTTATTGGACGCATGGCAGGTTCGAGACCTTCTTCCGCTTTGCAAAAACGATTTTAGACGAGGAGTTAATTTCCAGCAGCTTTTCTAACTTGGGCTAACTTTGCAGTGTCAGCCAGTGAGGGGGACGCCTACCCACTGGGAGCTCTTCCAGTGGGAACACTGGTGAACAATCTGGAGATACAACCAGGGAGGGGATCCGAGTACATACGCGCTGCAGGTATCCTGAGTGGTTCCATGGCATTTAGTTACGTGGTGTTCCAGTACGGTTCCTAAAACGTCCCGTTTGGATTTCAGGCACGAGTGGCGTTTTGCTTCGGAAGGTAAACGGAACAGCCATCGTTCAGCTTCCTTCCAAGCAGCAGGTTCAGGTGAGGGTAAAATACGTTCATCCTGCTGGAAATACTTCCACTGGGAAGTAAATGTTGCCTTGTTGTCGCTTTAAGGTACTGGAGACCTGCATGGTGACTGTGGGACGAGTGTCCAACATCGACCACAACAAACGGATCATTGGCAAGGCGGGGCGAAACCGCTGGCTCGGCATCCGCCCGTCCAGCGGCTTGTGGCAGAGGAAAGGAGGCTGGGCAGGAAGGAAGATCAAACCGTTGCCTCCAATGAAGAGTTACGTCAACCTTCCCTCCATCTCTGCCAACTAGCCCCTGGACCTGTGAACGTCCTTCTGCTCCTGATTTACAGACACATGAACAAACAGAGCCGCTTGTACGGAAGATTAAAAAGTTTATTAAACACAACTGCTTGTGAGAGCATGGAAAGAAAAAAAAACAATATAAAAATCCAAAACCTATTTACATCTATAGTAAAACATGCAGAGTAACCCATATTTCAGTGGTGAATTTAAAAATACTGTCATGTCATCTAAAATAGGGTTTGTGCAAAGACACCAGGTGGCATTTCAAGTAACAGGAGCAATGAGATGGCATGGTGTAGTTTGACCGGAACGAGCAGCTTTAACACTGTTGGAGTTAGTAAAATTATGCCTGCTCATTGGTCCAGCCTTGTAAGACACCCACATGCTACCTCCGGAGTAAACGGGGCGGGGGATAATACGTGGACGTTTCTCATGGCTACTTCTCTCAGCCAGCTCTGCCCAGGTTAACGCTCCTGACCAGCAGACGAGAAGAGCTGGACAGACGCACGCAGATGGTGGTCAATGAAAAACGAAGTGGTAAAAAAAAGCCACGATGGGCTTAAACTCTTTATGACAACGCAGGAAAAAAAAAAGACTTTACATGCAGGTAGTGGTTTACATTTTAAATAAAACACCTCAAACATTTGAAGACAAAAGTAAAATGAGTCCAGATTTGAGCGACTATGAGAACCACGTGAAAGTGCATCGCAAAGAGCGGGAGACGGGCGGGCAGCAACGCATGACCCTATAGTGTTTTTGCATTGTCCACTTCATCGTTAGAGGAGCTCTGGAAGTATATTTGGCATTTAAGTCAAGAAATAAAGGTTTACTATTTGTGCTTTCAATTTAGTAGAAGGAGGGATTAATGATAATATGTCTAGTAAATACTTATTTACAGTCTTATTTAAAAATGCCAGTCTAGAACATCTTCACTTTATAAAACGCTAACTCCTGCAGAAGGCCCTTTGTCCAAACGTTTTCCTATCGCAAAAAAAAAGTTTCACATAACAGTAATCAGGGAGTACCATCAAATATATAATAGCACACCTACACAGACACACAGGCAGTGACTCGGGCGTCTCCACAGAAGCAGTTAAATGTCTCGGTGCGAGTCCAAGTCATCGGGTGAGACAAACTCCTTTTGTTGTGGGCTAGTCGTTTTCCCTCGTGGTAATACTGACGCTCACTGCGTGGTTTACGCCGTTTACCGCGTACTTTTGTTTCTATTCGGCCAAACGTGGAGCGGTAAGTGAAAACGAGTAACTCAGTAATTCTAATACTGATCTCCACAGGGACCACAGACTCGGTTTGCTCCCAGTTTCACACACGGAAGTTTGGGCAAAGCGAGAGCTCCGGTACAAACCCACTTTGGCACATCACTGTACTACTTACTGCGAGTACGCCGGAAGCTGAACACGGGGGGTGGAAAATCCGGAGCGGGTCGCTCTGCTGCAACTAATCTTGGCATTCAACTTCTGAGTTAAAATAGGTTGTTACCCTGCTTCTAAGTGGTTGTTACTGTACAGTGGGAGTAAAAAAACCATCAGCAGTCACAATAATGAACCGACGTGCTGAGCAGTTACAAATGTTTATAGCTACATTCACTATAGCTACCTTCCAATACCTTGCTTTTTCTTTTTAGTGTGCTTCAAAGCAACGATTCAAAAGAAAACTTACATTCCTTCCTATAAAACATGACCTTTTCCCAAAGTAAAGGGACGAGTTCAAGAACCGAGTTAGGAGAAAAGGTTCCCGTCGAGATTCACAGCAAAACTCCAAACTTTCAACACAGTCCGCGACAACCTCACACACATCACTGCACATCACCGTCACACTCCTCCGTTATCTATAGAGCAACAATAAATGTAGGATTTCACAGAAATAATAATAGAAAGTTAACAAAAACAAAGTGCAAACACAGCTGCCATTATCAAAATGTGGCAATTTGTCAAAAATCTCAAAATACCTCCGAGGCGGTAGCACAACTCTTACAAAATAGTACTTGTTCTTTTTGTAGTGTGTGTGTGTGTGTGTGTAAAAAACAAAAGTTAAACAACACCAAACATCAAAAACATCAAAGGGACGACATGAAATGTGTGTACTGAACGAGTGAGTCTGTAAGATTTCCACAGGAAAACTACGACTGCCAGAGCCTGTTGGCGTTTCTTCTAATTCTCCGGAGTGCAGCGGAGAGCCCGGAGTGGCTCACACCGGCTTCGTGTATCCAAAGATCCCCACCGGGAAGTGCTTCACGTGCGTCGGCCACTGAGCAGCGAGCTGAAAAAACTTGACATCGTTCCACTCCACACCATCAATGGTGACTGAAGATGACAGAAAACAGGAGAGAGAGATCAGCTGCAGCTGGTTAGAGATGAACCGGCAGTTTGAGCGGCCCAACACCAGGTGGCAGCGCAGCCTCATCCGTGCTGGTCTCACCTCTCAGCATGGTGTGCTGGTGCTTGGCCGTGCAGATCAACCTGCTGATGCCATCGATCACTTGGCTCTTAGAGTCCAGCTCTTTTTCCTTGGGCTTCTTGCTGAGAAAAATCACTAGAAAGAGCGAGAGGAGTTCACAACCTTTCACACCGAATCTCTGCGTCATTCGTTAGCGGTCATTTTGGATCCTGATGAAAACAGAACAGCTGATCTCTCATAAATTTACAAACAATTATTTACTTTTGAAGGCATGTGTGAACTACCTTTACTTAATATCTAACTTCTATTAAGAAACCGTTCTTCACAAAAGTATAGTAACTTTGAACAATAAAACTTTAAAGAGCAAGTCACCCCCACATTGACGTGATTTGTTGATAAACTACATAAATGAGTGTCTAATTGTGCTGCAGACACATGTAGTGAATAATTTGGAACTTTTGTGCATCTTAGTTAAAATTTAAAGAGCAAGTCACCCCCTACCAGAGTATTACTTCACTCCCACTTCCTGTTTGAAAAATGCAACAAATGCTGTTGCCTAGCAGACCGAGAGGGCGGAGCCGCTAACGCACACACACAGGCTCACAACGACATTGTGACATCATATGGTACCAGCTAACGTTCTAGGATACCTCTTAGCCAATAGCGATGGCAGATTTAAATTAAAATGCAGTGCAGAGTTTTTACCTGTAGATGGTACAACACTGACAGTTTTAGGCAGAAAATTAAAATTTTAACTAAAATGCACTGAAGTGCAAAACTATTGACGACACGTGTCTGCAGCACGATTAGACACGCATTCATGTAGTTTATCAGAAAAAAGGTTGATTTGGGGGTGACTTCCTCTATAAATATTCTGCCTAAAACTATCAGTGTTGTGCCATCTACAGGTAAAAACTCTGCACTGCATTTTAATTTAAATATGCCTTTGTTATTGGCTAAGAGGTGCACTATGAAGTTAGCTGGTACGTTATGATGTCACAGTGTTGTGAGTTTGTGGCCGTTTCTCAATACTCAAGGACGCTGGTGCGTTCTTGTGTACTAGACAAGTATGTTCTTGGCAAGGACACCAGAAAGTCTGTTCTACCGAGTACGGGAGGACGGCATTTGGAACAGAACCGTACTCCGTTGTGTCCTGGCAACAAGTGCTGTTTCTTGCTACAGTTAAAGAGCAAGTCACCCATTACAAGAAGCGTACTTCACTCCCACTTCATGTTTGAAAAATGCAACAAATGCTGTTGCCTAGCAGACCGAGAGGGTGGAGCCGCTAACAAATACACACACTCACTGCATTGTGACATCATAATGTACCAGTTTACATTATAGCATACCTCTTAGCCAATAGCGGTGGCAGATTTAAATTCAAATGCAGTGCAGAGTTTTTACCTGACAACGGCACAACACTGACAGTTTTAGGCAGAAAATTTAAATTTGAACTGAAACGCACTAACATGCAAAACTATTGACTACACGTGTCTGCAGCACGATTAGACACGCATTTATATAGTTTATCAGAAAAAAATAGTTGATTTGGGGGTGACTTGCTCTTTAAAAACAGGACCTGACATAAAAATAAAAGTCTAGTGTGTTCCTTAAATAACAAATTAACAATAAAAATGTATTATTTGTATTATATTTGGCCCATTTTGATCAAAACTAATAAAATACTAGCATTTCCTGCTCTTTAATGAATAAAAAAGATTATTTTTCATCAAAACAGACCTTCGGTGCTTTTATTTTGATAGTGGGTTAACTAATTAGCATAATGAAGGATCGTGAAGAGTAAAACTCAAACACACACAGCAAAAATTTACAGTTTACACACGATTCACAAGGACGTGAGTACACAAGTTCGGACAAGTGTGCATATTGAGAAACGGCCTGTGTGTGTGTGTGTGTATTTGTTAGTGGCTCCGCCCTCTCGGTCTGCCAGGAAACAGCATATTTTTTTTAAACAGGAAGTGGGAGTGGAGTAAGAATCTGGCAGGGGGTGACTTGCTCTTTAACAGTTTTTTGCTGATAATCTGTATAGATGAGTGTCTAATGGTGCTGTACACACGTGTAATCATCAGTGTGGCAGTTTAGTGCAACTTACTTTAAATTTAATATTTCAACCCAAAACCGTACTCATATCTCCATCTTCAGGTTAGAACTCTGCTCCACGTTTATTTAGAACCAGCTGTGGTTGAAGGCCAAGCTGAAAAACGTAACGTTATCAGCAAATGACTACGTGGCTGCACTGCACTGGTCTCCAGGTGAGGCAGCCGCACCTCCACCTGGCCCAGCCACTCACTGTGGTGGAAACATGTTTATTTTACAAGATAAACTCTTAAGGTTCCATCTAAAATCGGCGGTATGTACAGTTGTATATTTTCCGAGGTAAAGGGAACGCAGCGTGACGTCCGTCCTCCACACTGCACACCACTACTGCCCAGGGAAGGGCGGCCGCACTTGCGGGATCTACTTGTTATAAACTCAATGGTTAACAGGATGATTCAGCTTGACGGACATCTGGAGCTCGAACGTCAGAAGAATGTGTTCAGAAACTCGTTCGTTGCGCACGCCAGAACGAATACGCTCGCTTTAACGTCTGTATCAGAACCCAGAAGGTGTGTTCTGCACTCTGATCAGGGTATCTGCAGGTTTAAGGGAGCCACATTTAAGACTTTTTAAGACCTTTTTTAAGGCCACTTTGACCAAATTTAAGCTATTTTTTTTAATTACATTTGAGCTATAATTTCCAGCTATTGCCTAAAACCGGTGCTAACCGCGTTGCGAACGTGGGATTAGCCATCCAGTTACAAATAAACTTGCACTTCCCCATGGCGCAAGCTCCTAGCTTAACCAGCTAATGTGCTCATCTAAAAGTAGCCCCCTTTCACAACCAACTGAACGTGTACGGTTCCGCTAACGCCAATATCGTACACAAAAAATGCTGAACACTAACTAGAAAGTCACAAACATTTTGTAGAAATAAAATAATCTTGTTTATTTGGGTCTTTGGTCATTTAAGACCTTTAGAAACAGGATTTAAAGAGCAAGTCGCCCCCAAATCACATTTTTTTGGCTGATAAACTATATAAAGGAGTGTCTAATCATGCTACAGACACATATAATAATAATAATAATAATTATTATTATTATTAAACGTGTAGTCAATAATTTGGCAGTTCAGTGCATCTTGGTTAAAATTCAAATTTTCTGCCTAAAACTGTCAGTGTTGCGCCGTCGTCAGGGAAAAATTCTGCACTGCATTTGAATTTAAATCTGCCACCGCTATTGGCTAAGAGGTATGCTATGATGTCATCTGGTACATTATGATGTCATAATGCCATTGCCAGCCTGTGTGTGTGTATTTGTTAGTGGCTCTGCCCTCTCGGTCTGCCAAGCATCAGAATTTGTTGCATTTTTCAAACATGAAGTGGGAGTGAAGTAAGTTTCTTGTAGGGGGTGACTTGCTCTTTAAGGATTATTTGTCATTTTTAAGGATTTTAAGGGCCTTACATTTGGAAAAGCAAATTTAAGACTTTTTAAGACTTTTTAAGGACCCGCGGATACCCTGTCTGATGGAGCAAGCAAGTACTGCAGGTGAAACATGCCCTTTATTTTATTACAGTAATAAAATTACATGAAACATGTTTTATAATTCTTCAGCTTGATTTAATTAGTTAAAAAATAAAACTACATATCTAGATGTAAAATTAAAAAATTGTATCTGAAGTTTTTGATGAGAAAAATGAGAGAATTTTAACAAAAACTCCAAAGATGAACATTTTAGGACGCAATTGTACGGAAACATCATAAAATCTAGTTCCGACCTAAAAACTTTTTTTTTTTTTTTTTTACTTATTTATTGTGATTTTGCAAATGTGGTGCAGTGGGGTACGACTAAAACCAAGATGGCTGCCAAAAACAACACATAAGTGAAAAATAGATTCAGAAGTGTTGTTTGTATTTTGATTTTAACATGGATGTTTTCTCCATTTTGTGGCACAACATGTAAATAATTCCTATCTGGGGGAAGAAAATATGTAGATTCAGATAAAACCGATCAATCCAATCGTGCCAGTTTCAGTGGCCGCTGCATACCTTTCTTGTTCTTCTCCTTGGTGACCACGGTCATGGCCATGCTTGGTGGAGGGGTGAGTTCTCCTCCACAGGGCAGGCGGCTGACCTGCAGCGAACGGAAATTACACTTGAGGGTGTTCTTTAACCCGACGTCTCTCTTTTCGCCCTCTTTCTTCTTCTCTGAGCCCTGCCACGTCCAGTAGTCCACCTGGAGTCCCATCACTTCACTGCCCGAACACGGAGAACTGCACAGGAACGTGGGTAAAGTCAGGAGGAGAAACAAACCAGTTTTTACTGATTACTTATCGTGTGTTTGACTTTACCCGGCTCCTGATAGGGTAGTGGACACAGAGGGGGACTGTGGGGGGGTGCTCCCGATCTCCTTCCCGTACGGGCCGGATGACGGGGGAGGTGGGGAGGACAGGATGCTGGTGATCCCTCCCATCGCATCATCAGAGTCCACTGTGAAATGACAAAAAATTAAAATATCATCAAATGGAAAAAAACAACGGATGCTTTGGACTTTTTATAGTTTCTGGATCAAAATGAAACATCTGGTGAAATTACATCATCTTTAAAATTCTGTTTTTAGCATGTTGATCAAATCTAAATGTCTTACTTGACGTTGAGAGGCTTTGCTCCACAATCCCAACTTTTACCACCTGAAAGGAAAACGACATGTTTAAGTGAGAAAGACCAAAAGCATGTTTGGGACTTTTGCACGTAAAAAACAACTCTTACCCCGATAAACGGCACAAACTTCTGACAGGAGTCTTCGTCAGGGCTGTGGACAGAAAAGAGCGGAAGCTGTGAGGACGTGCTGGGACCATTTACCGCTCCAGAGGTGCAGGCCAACACCAGGTGTTCCTGAGGGGATCATGGCTCAGGGATGACTCGCACCATGTCCCATTGCAGCCCAAATGGCACATGACTAGCTCAGGTGGAATGGGGTATCGTTTCTGGGGGGGGGGGGGGTCACGGTACGATGAGATGAATGAGAGGACCGCTCCTTACAACCAGAACACTAGAGAGTCTCGTTCAGTAAAAGTAGTTAAGTATAATTACTGTATTACTTATTATGTTCCTTTGTGGAGAAAAACGATCTCAGGACTGATAGGCTAACGGCTAGTCCCAGCACAGCCAAGACTCTCATTTTTGTTTCCATCTCAAACACCTTCATAGGAGCTCTACTGCAATTAGGGATAAGTACCTTTGACATTTCAATCGATACGGTACCAATTCCTGGTTTCTACGAATCGACACCGGTACTTAACGGTACCAATTTTTGATACCTTTGAGTGTTTAATAATTATTTAAATCGCTTTTTTTATTAAATATAGATATTTTTTCAATATATAGCCATATTTGATAATATACAACTGTTTGTAGTTTTTCATTGTAGTGTTGTACAAAATTCTTCAATATGAAAACCTTTAACAACGGTTTCTAAATGACGCAAAAACAAAACCGGCTCCATGGACTCCTAATCCTCTTCTAGGCCCTCTGGAATAACTCTGATGAGGAGACCATGTGTTATAAACTACAAATGAAACTAAAACTAACTTTGATACCATACAGCTGTTTGTATTTTAATATTGTGGTGTTTCACAAACTAAACCCAGCTCCATGGACTCCTTTCCCCTCTGGACAAACTGTGTGATTGGAGGGTGGGTGGGTGGGGGGGTGGGGGTGGGGGTGGGGGGGGGGGGGGGTCCTTGTAGTTTTATAAAGGTACTAATCACACCGAAGCAAACATCTTATTTACGGTGCATTTTCATTCCCTTTGCCATTCTTTTTAGGGATGGACAGCATATTGGCATCAATATCGGTATCAGCCGACGTTAGTCATTTTGTAACATATCGTATCGGTTCTATAAATAAAACCAGGTTGATAGTAAGAACCCAGGATTTCCCCCAGAAAATGAGTTAAGCCTGGCAGCTTCGGCCATCGGGGGGGGGGGGGGGGGGGGGGGGGGGGCACGCTTCATCCCGCAGCGCTCCTCTGTGAGAGCGGGGGTGGGGTGGTTGCTGTTTCTCACCAGTATCACCTGATACTGATGGAGGGCTCTAGTTTCGTTGCGCCGTTCGTGTCAGCGGACACGGTCGGGTCAGGGAGGGGGCGGGGCATGACGCTTGGCCTGGTGGGTGGGCAAGCAAAGCCTGGCGGGCCGCGTTGCTTATACAGCGCTGGGGGAAACCAATATTTTTTCCATCTCGTCTCTATTTGTTTGCCTGTTTCAGAGGGTGGGGTGGGGGGTGGTGGGGGATGTGTAATTGTTTAGTCGTGTGAACAGTGAATGAAATCATCTCAGAAGCGTGAATGTGTCTGTTGTGTGTACATCGTAACGTAAATTCAGCTTTAATAATTTTCATTTTATACAAAATCTGCTGATTTTAGAAGTATTAACGTCAGCATATCGGTTATCGGCCATAACAGTGATCTTAATATCGGTATCAGCTCAGAAATCTCATGTCGGTGCATCACTAGTTCATTTTCAAACAGTTTATTTTTCCTACTCGGAAGTTGGAATAAATTTCATTATCTGGAATAGAAATAAATGCATCAAACGCATTTAACATCAAACACAAAGTTTACAGTTTGTGGGAACGCCATCGTCCAGAACACGAGAGAATACCGGTCCTTAGAGAGTAGCTGTGTCTGAATCCAGAGGCGGTTTCCTTGTGAGAACCGGTCCTAAGTGGTCCACGTAGGTCGAGTTCTTCTTCGACCATTAAAACCGAAGTGAGCAGCGGTGAATTTGGATGGTATTCCCGCCCTTACCTCAGAGTATGTTTTGTTGCCTAGTAACAGAGACTGCGCTACAACGTAGTTAAAACTAAAATAAGCCTTGCCTCTTTTAGTTTGCCCCCCAGCAGCTGTGGCTACATTGTAGCTCATCATGAACATGTGAATGTGTGTGTGAATGATACACTGTAGTGTAAAGCGCTTTGGAGTCCTCTGACTCTGAAAGGCGCTGTACAAGTATAAGTGTCAGGTCACCAACTCATACGAGTTTTTTTTAAGTTTTTTTTTTTGACAAAAATATATTTAAAGAACAAATATGCAAATGAAAAAAAAGCAACACAACCTCTTTCCTTCTACTGCCAGATAATAAAATACCAACAATTAAAACTGTAACCTTCTCCAGTTTCATCCGCCATGATTATAAGAACAAAAATCTCCGGTTTGGCCCACAATGAATCCTGGGATAGCCTTCACATAAGAGGACACGCTGGACCCGCCCTCGAAAGTCAGGGTAAACGATGCGACTCGAGTATCCTTCGATTTCGGACAGCCTTTCACTTCGCTGTAACATTGGCCTCAAAATGCGTACTGGAAAGGATGCGGCTGCTGGATACACACTCAGTAAGTGAGCTAGCCCTTTAGCTAACTCTCTCTCGGATCAAGATTTACAGGATTTTCATTATCTGGATAGAATTTACTTCTAATGCGATGTGAAATTTTTCTTACCCTTAACAGCAAAATGTTGCATCCTGGAAGTCCGCATTATCCCCCTTTCCATGAAATAATACTACATTTATGGCAGTTTTACAGTTTATAAAATAGCATTTGCATGAAAGTTAGAAGGTCTGAGCTGCTGACAGTAGGGTTGTCACGATACAAAAATTTCAAACTCGATTCGATACTGGGGAAAAAAACTCGATACTCGATTTCGGTACTATTTAAAAACACCAATTTATTGAACAAGTTTATTCAAAAAATAACATTCCTCAATTTATATTGCAAAAATTAAATGTTAAGAATTAAGTGTATTAAGTGCTTAAACCTTTCAAGTATCAGCATTTTTTAAAACATGCATACAAAAACTGGCGAAAGTTAACACTTTAAAATTTAATCGTGAATTGTCTCACTATATATACACTATCTGCAGAGTGATGTTTTGCTGCTTAAACTCTGTTTAAGGTGCATTTTTGTCATAAGATGTAATGCCATATGTTTTGTTCTGTACTTTTGAACAACTCTGTTGGTCAATAAAGGGAGAAAATGAATTTCTCCACAGTAGGACAAAGGTACATCTACCGGTAATCTTAATAAAAACAGATTGGCGCACGGCAGTGACGTCATTAAAAGCGCCGGTTAGATTAGCCGCAGCTAGTCTGTTTACGCCTAGAAATCCCAGACCAGACCCGCTCCAAACGAACAGGGGAATCACGTTAATGATTCCTAACAAAACCTTTCGACATGAAGATGTTTTGGTGCAGATAATGTCTTATTTCGAGGCTGCACCATGGGTGCCCGTCCGCACCCGTTATATGGATATACGCTGACGGCGATTCGGCGATGGATCTAAATACCCCGGGGAATCCAAGTAGCACCAAAGTTGTCAGCGTGAGTAAACAAACGTACTGCATGCTAGACATTAAGTCCGGGTTGCAATAAACGGGAGTTTCCTTTAAGCACATAAGCGTGAATATACAACTACGTGTCGGACTTGGTATGCTAATTAAGTTGGGCTGTGAAGCGCCTCCCAAATTTGCTGTTTATGTTTTTGTTTATTTATTTGGCAGACAAAACTTGGATCGGAGACAACTCGCGTGGGAAATTGCAATGTAGCCATGCGGCGTCTTCTTCTGTTTGTCTGGGAGGCGGAGGCTGCTTTACGGCATCTGGCTGTCGTGCGTGTCGGTGTACTTGAAGAAGGCTGTGTATAATAGTCCATAATATCGATACCACAGGGATGGAATATCTAATTTAGATACCACTTTTAGTATCGATTTATATCTAGGTATCGATTTTTTGACAACACTAGCTGACAGACCCATGGTCTTTGGACTAGCCGTTAGCTCATCAGTCACTACAGGTCATTTTACGAGTCGCTTGAAGACTCATGTTTATCGCTTGGCTTTCATATAAAATGGTTTCTAGATTCTTACCTTCTCCGTTTTATCATTTTAATCAATGTTTATACTCTGCTTTTATTATTCTCCGTCCTTTTATGGTTTTCATGTCACGTTCAGCGCCTCGGTCTTCCGTAAAGGCGCTTTACAAATAAAATGGTTGATTTAATGATGTAGGACGTAAACTTTAATCCAAAAAGTCAGAATGTTCCTTCAGTTCTTGTGATCAGAAATCAGTGATTGTATAAAGCTGATCTCTAACAGGTAGCACGGTCTGAAGCTAAACCTGCTAGAGATTTTACTTTAAGACACAGCTTGCACATGTTGTAGCAACCAAGCAAAAGCCTAGAAGAACTTACTGAGAAAAGGTTTGAACAACAATTATATAAAAGCCAATAACTTCACTGCAAACTGGTTAATGTTAGCGTTCATTTATGAGTTACATTCTTCTGGGAAGTGTTTGTTTGTTAGTAGACGGTGGACTTTGTGTGTTTCAAGATGATCAGAAATCACGAAGCGACACGTTTCTATTAATGTATTTGTTATTTTTGTGTTTTACATTTATCTTTGGAAAGCTTCTTATTTCCTGTTTGTTTTTCCAGATTGTGTATTTGTGTGCAATTTATTTAACATCTCAAAGTATCTCATTCTGACCAATTAAAAAAGACAAAAAAAAAAGACGAAAAAACAAGATTTGAAATAATATTTAAAAAGAGGGTTTTGCTTATTTATTTTCTACCCCAAAAAATAAAAAAAGCAATAAAAGGGAAAAGTTCAGCTACACGTCGATGATCATGAAGGTAAGAATGGATCGGAATGTATTATTATTTTGTTTTTGTTTTGTTTTTATTTTAACGTAAGCCAACTTCAAACTTCTAAAGATGGCGCCGTGTACATTTAACCTTTTAGATGCTTTTAGGGAACGGAGCATCGGTGTTTAACAAAGTGTGAGTGCAACGAAACAAGCGCCTCTTGTGGCTTCGCGGCTTTGTGAATGCTGATTTTCAGGGTTGTGAGGCAGATCGTTTCACAGCAACAACACAGACAACAAAACAAGAACCAAAAACCACACCAAACCAGAGAGACGGTCAGAACACAGTGAAGTCGAGTGTGAGGAGAACTGTTAAGGACACGGCGAGAAGTTCAGGCCAAATGGAGGAGGAGGAAGGGCAAAACAAAAAGAAAGTTCGGTTAAATACCTGATATAAAAATCAAAATACAAACTTCTTTTCCTTGAAAGCAAATCAAAAAGGGGAAAGGGGGGGAGAAGGGATGCAACAGCATTAAAACGGTCATACCTAGAAGCTTTTAACCAACGTCTTCAACGCAGAAGCTAAATCCTTCTCTGCTGGACTCATTTACTCAAGCACCTGTGTGTGTTTGACTAAAACGTGTTTTCTCGGACGGGTTATGACAGAATAATCAAGCGTGAGGCTTTTAAATATGAAACCAAACGACAAACCAGCCTGTAGAGTCCTTCAAACACACGATTCATGCTGATTCTAACCTGCACTCGTCCAAGACGTTCACAGGAACCAACGGTCCGAGCACAAGAAGCACAAACATGCAAACGGACGTTAATCATACGTGTGAAATAACTTCAGAGTTTTACCTCTTCTGCTTGTAGGTGAGCATCGCTTCGGAGATGGGGAACTGGTGGGACACGTTGGCACCGGCCAGATACTGAACGATCCGCCCTGCCACGTCGATGTTGTCTGCAGAGAGACACGCCTCTGTCGATTAGCGTCAGATCAACAGCCGATTACTAGAAAGCCTTTCTGATGGAGGAAGGAACGCAGAGATGTCATCAACAAGTGGTTTAAGTGGGCCACACAATGCACGCACACGGGAGTCTATGTGAGAAGAAATGCTTTTTGGAAAGACAAACTCAAAGCGTTGGTTGTAGACGATTCAACGCGTGTGACTCTTCTACATGTGAGGAATAAATTGCGGTAAATCAATCCCCAAAGACGGAAACCTACGGACTTGTTAGGAATGAAAAGGCGAGTGGGCATGAAGCGTTGGTGTAAAGGTTCAGGCAGAATCATCGCGGGACGAGAAAAGACCGTCTGCTGCAACCATGAGAAATTATTTTTTTCTTCATCCGCCTGTGACTCGTGCTCTGACCCAGTTTCTTTCCCTTTCAAGTCAGCTGCACATTATTAGACATGCAGACTTGCTCTTTCTGCCAGCTAGCAGAGCGAACGAGTCCCACCTGACGTGGGCCGCTCCGTCCTGCAGAACAGCTCCCTCCACGCCGTGTCCATGAAGATGCTGTTGAACCGGCTGTCAAAGGAAGCCACGTACTTTGCCAGGGGATGGGAGCCTTCACACAGACGAGAGCAGAAAAAACCTTTAGAGATGAAGCAGCTCTAATAGTTGAATGTGTCTCGGGCTGGATTTGACCTACCGATGGGAATCACCAGAAAACGGATGTAACTGAGCCAGTCGGGGGTCTTGTTGGCCAGCTGCTCCACGAAGAACCTCAGGACGGTGCTGAGGTAACTCTGGTCGCCTGCCACCGCCACCTTTATTGTTGGGGGTGTCTGTGCGTTGCAGTTACAGCTGCAAGGGTTAATACAACGAAAGGATGTGAGGAATACATATCAGATGTTTGAGTTGAAAATGTTTCCAAATATTTCTGTTTCAGACCCTGAAAGCGTGCTGGGTGATGTGCACAAGCAATGCCAATTATCCCAATTAAATTTTATTAGAGCATCACGTCACTTCCTGCCTCTTTAAAAAAACAGACAAGCAAAACCTTGTCCCAGGACAATCCAGACTTTTAATAGAATAGAATAGAATAGAATAGAATAGAATAGAATAGAATAGCAAGCCCAAGGCCTGGAATAGACTCGCTGTTTAACGAGTATGCATGTTTAAAATGGCTGCCTCGCATAACTTACGTTGATTTGAAGAGTTTTTTGTGCGTGTCGCCTGAAATTGGCGCGTTGTGTTTGCACGCTGCAATATACGAGTGACCAGTAGGCGGAGTTGACAAAATGAGTGAGACACAGTCGCCATGGTCTCTGGTTTAGAGGCCTTTCATCGCTGCTGCCTTTAAATTAACCAGTTACTAATCTCTTCTAATGATACTAGGGGATGTAAGAAAATATTGATATGGCAATACAGTGATCCCTCGCTACTTCGCGGTTCGTTTATCGCGGATTCACGACTTCGCAGATTTTTTCTTTGGAGCCTTATTCAAGGGAAATTCACCGATTCGCGGTATTTTTATATGCGAAATATCAAGAAATTCCTGTTTTTTTTCCATCAATTTCATCATAAAATGCACTTTTTGTAATAAAACTATAAAAAAAAAACAAGTAAAAATACAGTACTATGTAAAGGGAGGGTTTTAAAAGTCTGAATACTGAATACGTACCTGTTAAATAAATACTGTAAATATGGTGTCCCTACTTCGCGGATTTTCACCTATCGCGGCCAGGTCTGGAACGCAGGTCTACCGCGATAAACGAGGGATCACTGTATATTGTGATAATTTTTCCTGCGACATATCAATATTCAAAAGCTGTGTATCGAATTTTTTGAAGAATTTACATGCAAACATTTGTGTATTTTCTTTTCTTTTGGTGCAATTCAAACACCGACCACTAGTTGGCAGCAGTGTGTAATGGGTTTGGTTTCCACCACCAAAATGTAAACCCCTCTATCATGGTTATCATGTTAAACATGTTACGTATCATTTTAGACTGTTTAATGAATTTTCCTACAACAAGTTCAGTCTAAAAATATTGCAAATATTGTCTGGCTGAATGTATCGCAATATTTCGTATTGTCTCCCCCGTATCATGACACGTACTGTATCGCCACAATTTCACCAATACACAGCCCTAACAGATGCCATGTTTATTTTGGCTGTACCCACAAAATGGTTCTGTATCAGGTCTGAGTTCACTACTGTGCCCCCTAGTGGAACACTCCAGTACTACATGCAGGGCAGCAGCAAATGTGTGAAAAAGCTAGCTTAGCTCGCAGCAATTTTTTTCTTGTTCTTCTTGTCTTGCCTGATGCCGTAAATTTGGTGAGATGAGAAGTTGGGAGTCCTCGGGGTACATTCACACAAATCCTGAAGTAACTTTTGCCGCCTGTCCAAAATAAGTGCTCTCTTGGCATCAAAATGTGTCTTCAAGATTCATGGATTATATTTGTTAAATCTATGGCACATAACAAACGGGATCAGGAAATACCTAATTGCTCCGTAGACTCCCATTCTTTTTTTTTTTGGCAGTGGGGAACCCATGGTCCGGAAGTAGATGGGCCGGCGTGACTTAGGCTCTCTATTGACCCTTTGCACATGACGTCACGCCACTCATGTGACCGCCCCCTTCGCCATGATGGACGGCAAAAAGACCGTTTACACCCATAGAAACTCCAGTGAAGCTAGTCAAAACAAGCCAGTTTGTAGCCTTTTATGGCTTTTATTTAGTTGATTTGACAGTAAAATGGTTTTAGCTTGCTGCGTGGTCGGCTGCACTAACAGACAAGGACGTAAACTCAACTCGTTTTGTTGTTTTAATAACTTTGATGGAGACTGAGGACGGAGATGAACCGCAGCGATCAATCAAGCGGACTAGCAGGCCTCAGATTTGCAGCGAACATGTTTTTACCGTGTAAGATTAACGTTCATTCATTTCACGAGTAAGACAGGGACCGGGATAAATGTGATGTGTTTATACTAGCTATTGATAATCCTGATGGATGGATGGTATTTCACCACGGAGGCTGCGCTCCGTCCTCTGTAGTGTAAAGTGAGATAATTACTAACAATATTAAAGCTCCGATGTATAATTACGTGTGTTAAAATGACGTTATTTATTTATGAGCGTCGGCGTTCAGAGATCTTCTCATTCCGGTGTGAGAGCAGCAGCTGAACCCGGTAGCACCACCAGCAACAGAAGCTGGTAGGGATCCGGACTTTTTAACAATCAGCTTTGGTGTAAAGTGAAACGCTGTTTACAACATAACGTTATAAATCCAGAGGGGTGAATTTAGGCAAAGTCAGCAACATGTTTACATCAGTGAACAGCTGCAGAGAGAAGGTAAGCTAACGTTGGTAAGCTAGTTAGCATACCGCTCTCTATGAGCCCCGCTAGATGCGCTACCCCTTCTGATAACTGAACTGGGCATGAACTAGTTGAAGGAATGCTGGAGGAGTTTTGTTTTGATCGCAAAAACAATTTCAGGCTCTACTTTTCCCTTTGTTTAGTACTCGTGTCGCTCACTGTTTACATGCTTTTGCCATCCAGCATGGTGGACCCACGTGATTAGGTGACGTCGGTGCAAATGGTCAATAAAACAGTCCGTTATTGTTGTTATACCCAACAAAATTACAGCAAAACGCCAGATAGAGCCACACTTTGCCTTTAGAGTTATCTGGATACTGAACAAAGCTGTACGGAGTTTTTAGGCGGTGTCAAAGAACGGGGTAAACTGGTCAATCAGCACACAGCTCATTTTATATTTATGTCCTACCTGAGTGAGCAGGGCAAATCGGTCTTCCCTTAGTCATGCTTTTTGGGGGGGGGTTGGGTGCCATTTATCAGGGCTCCTGGGCCATTTTGAGCCCCAACAAAGTTTCATATGTTACAAAGAGCCTCAAAGAAGAGTTTCCTGCCGTAGAACAAAGTTGTTCTAGAACCTCTTTAAAATGATGAAACTTGTTAAAGGTAATGCGAAGGATCTTTTTCTTCATCTGAACCATTGGTCAACATAACTGTCAATCATTCTGGTGAACCATTCACGCAAGGTTCCTGGGCAGTCTTCACTTCCAGTGCATGCACATTCTGTTTATGTGTAGAGCGATAGCCTTCATTCCTCGCCGTTCTCGCCGGGTTCTTTTGAAAATGGCCGAGAGTTTTTGCAAGTCCGCGATAAGAAGAGAAAGACCTCCAAAGTGAGGAAAAACACCCGAGTTTTTTAGGAGACTCTTTACAACGATGGCGTGCGCTGAAAGCGAAGGTTGGGCTCCCCACAAACACCTCTGTCACCAGTTTTCTGCTCGACAGGTGAGCTAAAGTTTGGTCTGCTATTTGGAGAAATGAATTTCAGATTACGGTTAGAAGAAGTGCTGCAAGGTGGCCGCCATTTGTAAACCGAGCGTGCACGAGGATAACCAGGTGTTCTCTCTCATGCACTTATTTTATTTTTAAGTGGAGGCCAGTTCTTTCCTGACGTTCAGAAACATCCTCCGCATTATCTTTAAACCACAATTGTTGAGATCAGAGACCGGTAAAGGTTGGTTAATGCTTGACGCGTCCGCGAGGTCCGCACGGCTCCGCGCGGAAAAGTTGCTTCATTTTGCGTCATTTTAACAACCACGCCCCTCCACCGCGTCTCCGCACGGCCCAGAATTTCCGCAACGCGCACCTAGGAAAATTTCTAACCACGCGGACGGACGGAGGCGGAAAAACATGGCGGACCGGCAAGATCTAGTATGGCAGAGGTTCGTAAATACAGACATTTGTATGATTCAGCTCTCAGAGATCACCGTGATCAACATGTTGTTAATAATTCTTGGAGAGAAATTGCTCGCACTGTCGGAAAAGACGAGGACGCTGTTAAAAATGCTGAAATGTCATGTTGTAAACAGTAATTTTTACTTCTACTATGGTGTAGTGTTGGATGCATGCCGTAGAGCTCCATGCTGCCCCCTACAGTTTGGGAGAATAATGGCTCACCACAGAGACAAGCCGCATGAACCATAAACGCTGCGAGTTGTGAAGTGCGTTCCAGCCGCGAGCCGCATCACCGCGCGGAAAGTAAATGCGTCAAGCATAAACCAAGCTTTAGGGATTTAAAAGGCTTGAAAGCAACCGTAGAGTTGACTGAAGAGCAGAAGGAAGCAGAAATAAATCATTTATCGTGCGTAAGAGAGCAGATTCTCAAACAATGGATGCTGAGGCAAAAAAAGACCACTGAAAACACACACTCGCGAGCACGCATGCACACACACAGCGGAATGAAAATCAGCCAGAGACGGCCTCTAATGCATGCGTTCATGTATGCATGTGACTCACAATCTCTGGATGCGAGTGACGATGGTGTTGAAGGCAGCCTGAACATCGGCAGTTGAGCAGGTGGAGACAATGGGCTGGCCCTGTTCATGGAGCAAGTCGGCTACATACTGTACAGAAACAGGGACACGAGGGATTGACACGAGGAAGCAGCGACCCCAACAGGATTAAGACCCGATAAACAACAACAAAACTGGGTCCCGCTTTTGTCTCTTTGTGCCTAAATGAGTAAAAGTTCACTCATGAAAGTAAGCAGGATTTGTGACACACTTGTCCTTGCCACTCCGTGGTGTTGATGAGAATGATGCTCTCGGGCAGGCGTTCGTCAGAGATCAGGATCTGGTTCAGCTGGTCGTACACCGACTTTCTGGGAACCTTGGAGAGAAATCCAGAGGCACAGAGTCAAACGCTGACATAAACCCGCGCATTCCCACACAGAACGCATCGCCGGGTGCGTGCGAGCTCTACCTGTGCTATCTGTCGGGAGTCTGGGGAGCACTCGCTCTCCATGCTGCTGGTCCTGTCGCTCTGAGCCTTGGAGTTCTGTCGGTCTTTCATGGAGGTGCTGCGAGGACGTCTCTGCAGACGGTTCTCCACTTTGCTGCGAGCAAAAAACACATGTGGCTTAAAAAACACGACAGGAAGAGAGCAAGGAAGTTAATAAGCTAGACTCAAGAGGATGATAAAAAGGGAAACGTATTCCAAATGACGGGTCAAAGACACTAACTCCGGTCCAGCTTATGTAAAACAGATGGTAACATAAGGCGGAACGTACCTACCCGTGATTATTTCTAGATTTAGTGATTAGCCGTTTACCTTGGAGACATGTGGTTCTGCGACTCGGTTTTGCAGAGTTTGCCAACCGAGCTGGTTATCCGTTCAGCGCTGACATCCCAGCTAGTTGCCTCTCCTGCTGTGGGACCGCTGTTCTCCGGTTCCGGCTCCTGAACCTAAACAGGATAGGTGACATCAAAGACATGCACCACGGTCGGCTTAACCAGTGAACTCAGAAATCTTTTTTCTTTCCTCAGCCAATGGATGCAGGAAGCAGCAGATATAAGCTGTAGATCTACATCCAGTAGCTATATTTAGAGTTTTATTAAACTCTCCCCATTGGTTCATGAGTCAAACAGGTGCAAAAGGAGTCATTCACCCATTCTTTTCAGTGTGGTCTCCAGTATGAATGAATGCCGTGTGAGTCGTTTGCTGTGTGAAAAAAGCTCTGGCGCTCCTGTTTCAGGGGGTAGAAACGAGTGGAAGGAGTTGGGGGTGGGTAATGATGGAATTAAGAGTCTTATTCATTAATATTAGGGACGTGCAAAGATCTAGCCTCTGATTGGCTAAAAGCAACACAACTTTTCTGCTGTCTTTGATCGCTTTTTGCGACGTCGATGTTTTACCTCCACAAATAACATAGGTCTGGGTGTGTTCCGCCATGATGTTAAAGTCCCATCAGCCGTCACACACTAGAGAAATGTGCTCTTCGCATTTGACCCATCTCCTGGGGCAGCGGTGAGCTGCAGACACGGTCGTGCTCGGGAACCGTTTGGTGGTTTAACCCCCCCAATCCTACCGCTTAAAGCTGAGTATCAAGCTAGGAGGCATCGGGTCCCATTTTTAAAGTCTTTGGTATGACCCGACTGTGGGTTTAAATCCAAGACCTCCAGGACACAAAAGACCTGAGAAGTTTCCGGAGCCTCTGACCTGGTGAGGAACTGAGCTTAGCGTCGGAGGCTGAGATAATGACACAAGCCTACTCTGGTGGTGTCTTAGCCGGTGGTTGGGGTAACACGGCTCCTGTAGCATCAATGACCTCCGTTTGGGTGAGCGGAGCCGAGACGGCTGGTCCGTGCTCAGAGGAGGGGCCACAGCTGGATGAACAAGGCCAGCTTGACCCAACACCACGGAAACGACGACAAATGCAACCAGCCTTTTTTCCCTGTCCTCATCAGTCAGCTCGTCCAGCATGGAGCGGTTCGGTCTGCCTTACTGATCCATTATGGACGACCGTGATGTTTGTTTTGCCTGCCCTTGCATACCGCCTCCCTTGTTGCTTCTGCTCAGACACGTGGGAGGATGGAGCACGAAGGAAAGCGTGTAAAAGCTTGAAAGGGAATAAATGTGAGGAAGAGATGACTCCTAGGGTGTTAAACTCGACTCCACAGAGGACTGAAGTCAAAAACATGGTTTGAGTCGAGGAACAAACTTCGTATTTATTAAAAAAGAAAACAGATGCTGAACTTTTCTGAGGTCAAATTATTTATTGACATGAACTCCACTTTTCTCAAGACACTTTCTGTAAGTCTGAACAAAGGCTGGCTGATGGGTTATCCTCATAAGAATAAGGGGAAACATCAATGTGAATTGATATGGCTTTATTTTCCATTAGCAGCTTTGATCTGAAGGCCGTTAAATCCCTCAGTGATGTCAGAACATACGGCTACTTTCATTAAACCAGAGACAGAAAAGGAAAATTAAGAGGAGTTTTGAAGATTTTCCACTAATCTGGTCAAACCGATCACTTCCTTTCCTCATTTCACTGGAACAGACGCTGTGATATAAATAACCCCAATGATATTTTTTTATTAAACAAAGAAGCATCATCAAACACAAGCTTGTTTTTAAAAACGTCTTCCTAAAACCAGGATATGATTTCCCATGAGAACAGGCTTATGGCCCCGGTCCAAAAACAAACATCTCTTATAGAAAAGCAGAACATTCGGTCATTAAAGCGGCACCAGCGAGGGTTAGTTTAGACTCTGCTTTTATAACGTTCTTTGTGAACATCCTTCTGTGGTCTGTTTCTGTCAGTGCAACACCTGACCGTCCAGAAACTCCTTCTGGGCCTCAGGCGGTGTTTAGTTTAAAATAACATACCCCTGCAGTTGTGTCTGCCACGCTGTCATCCTGAAATCGACCTCCTTGCACTTTACATCTGTCCACGGTCAGCAAATCTCCGCTCTGCAGGGTAAACACACATCACTTTACTTTGTTAGAAAATCTAAATGATTCAGGTTGAAGGTACTGTCTTCTCACTTCAGGATGCCTACTCAGGAGGTAAAAGTGGGGACTAGAGCTGAGGAAAATAATCAAATAATCGATCGATGCATGGGGATGCGGACATAAATGATTCTGCATCGTAGAAGAGTACGCCATAATCGATTAGAGTGGAATGTAGTTTTGTTTTTTTAACCACGGCACCAGCGCAGCATCCAAAGCTGTCAGAGTGAGCGTCCTCCACATTTACCAAGTGGTTCCGCCTTCATGTGGTACTGCAGGGCTGAGCGCTGGAGTTGTAACCTGAGACCGAACCGGAACCGAATCAGCCCGACCGGTTCTGTTGGACTTGGGCCGTGAATTAAGTTAACTGAGCGGGTTGTCACGCGGCACGCTCCGCTCGCTCGATCAGCGACTGAGAGAGAGAGAGGATGGGAGGACGCTCCTCCAAACCGATGCTCCAAACACGCGTTATTATTTTCATAATTTAATTATTATTTCTCCTGGAAGCGCTCAATCAGACCGAGTGCTGTGATGTCGGGAGATCCGGTCTTGGGGAGGGGGCGGGGTCAATGATGGCGGCTGCAGCGTGATCGTCTGTCTCTTTTATTTAGGGACACGGAGAAGTTAAAAGGAGAGAGAAATAGAAGATAGAAGTTCTTGTTCCACTTTATTCTTTTGTTCCATGATGATAAACTGATGTTAAATTCAGCTTAAAGAGAAACTGGGAGGAAGCTTTGGTTCATTTTAAGTTACAGGAGATCTTGTTTCCCATCTGCTCCTCCAGAGACAGCATGGACATGAGGGTCACATGGTGAGGGTCACACAGGACAGGTTAGTGGAAAGGTTTGTAGTTAGCTGGTTAGTGAAGGAGATCCATCAGCTGGGTAATGTAATCCTAATCCAGCCCACAGCCTTCTGCTGGTGTTATTATCAGAAAGAATAAAACACACATCTTAAATATTTTTGGAAGTGTAGAATTTGTTTTATGTTTTATTATTTTCTGCATCAAACAGAACTTGATTCATTCTCCAACATTTCAGAAATGAACCACTGGGTTCAAATAAAATAACAAACTAAGTCAAACATTTCATTTGGTGTTATTTCTGACACCCTTCAACTGTGGCATAAATATCGGACTCTAGAGCTGCTCAGAGACATTAAACACTCATATATGAACCCATTATGTATTTTATTATTACATTATGTGTCCTGTAGGTTTTCAGTACTTTTTTAGATTTTGTGAGTTTTTGCAAAGCGTGTTTTTCTCAGCCTGAGGCGTGGTGTTGAACGAGGAAACAGATGCTTTACTTTGTTAAATCTTCTGTTTAAAATGTTTTGTCCTAACCTGTTGTGAATGGAGAGCTTTTGAGGGATGGCAGGTTGTGTCAATTACGTTTTAGATAAAAAAATAAAAAACAAAAAGCAATTATCTGACATCTTCTGTTTATCGATGAAAACAAATCAATATGAAATAATCGGGATGCATTGGGATATCGAATCGAATTGAATCGTTGACCCAATAATCGTAATCGAATCGGGAGACAAGTGAAGATTCACACCTCTAGGTGGGAGAGGGTTTTTTTGCAGTTCAAGCAAGCCATTTGTGTATCCAACGATCTGTGCGCCAACCCGGCTCTGGCTTCACTTCCTGTCTAGCTGCTCAAAGTGAGAAAGTGCGATTCGGGCACATGGAGGGGTTTGTGCCAAGGGGAGAGGGATGCTCATAGGATGGATGGATCAGGAGCCAGTCATTAAGAACGGGACAATCTCTACATTTCAGAGGTGGTCAAGCGTATTTATCTTTCTGCAAAAAGATTAATTTATTGATTTTCATCAGTAAGTGAAGAGCATCTCAAGCAATATGGCAATAAATGCTTCAGAAAAACATCTCCTACAGCATCATCTGATTTACTTCATCATCGTCTTCTGGTGTATATGTTTATAAGTTCTGTTTGTCCACAAGAAAATGGACAGCGCAGCACTGTGAAATCCTTTGGACTATTTTATTACAAGAAAAAATGGACTCCCTGATATTTATAAACATCTCTGCCTCTCTCTCTGCTGTGGCTCTTCTAATGAGCTATAAATCTCTGAGCAGAAGTTCAGGATCGCTCTACCCCATCTCCTCTTGGAGCATCGTTGTGTCTGCATGTGTGTGTTGATGGTTCTTGAAAGGTCATGTGCTGACGGTCCATATAAATACTGAGAGGCAGCAGTGGTAGAAGGGGTAAGGACTAAACGAACCCCGCCCCTTTCTGCTGGCGGCTGCACTGAGCTCAGGCTCAAACCTGCCTGTGGTATCTTTGGGAAATACCTCGACCACAATAAGCACAGAGGGCTGCCAGACATTTAAACAGCGGGCCAGTTTCCTTACGTAACAGCGAAACAACTGAGGCACAACTTTAAATGTAAACAGGTTTGTCCACGATCGACTTACAGGACACGACAGTTCTCTCTGCTGGCTCTTCTGGCTGTGTACGCTTCCAATCTCGGTCTGGGAGCTTGAGTGAGACATCCCTTCAAAAAATGGCCTGAAAGACAAAATATTTCTTTTCTATTTGGTGATGAAAACACTTCCTATTTCAAATATGCTTTTAAGAACTAAATATGCGTTTCCTTCTATTTACAATGAGTCGGTTGAACCATATTTATTTGGAATAACGTGTTAAACCAGAAGTGCAAGAAAACCCGGGATGGCCTAACTTTCACCTTTACTGAAAATATTCTAGAACCATTTGTATCGTCACAATAAAAAAGATTGAGTTGGATGAGATTTTCGTCAAATCACACACACTACATCCTAAGTATGCGTGAAGTATTGATCGGCTTGAAGGAGCCGTAAATCTACCCGACTGAACAGACACAACCCTGAATGCCCAGAGAACAATCCAGTGGTTTATTAGACCGTGGTAAATAAACTGTACTTGTATAGCGCCTTCTAGGATTCTGCAACCCCCCAAAGCACTTTACAAAACATCCAGTCATTCACACATTCACACCCTGGTGGTGATGAGCTACAATGTAGCCACAGCTGTCCTGGAGCACACTGATGGATGCAAGGCTGCTGAGGACGGGTGCCACCAGTCCCTTTGACCCTTCGGCGGCTAAAGTTTATTTTTTTTAATCCTTTATTTAAAGAGAGGACATTGCATATTTATGTAATACAACTGTAAAATGCCAGATTGTAGCCTAGGGCTAATTTCCATCTGCAGTCCTCTGGCAGGTTAATGTTAAAAGAGATAAGACAGACAACAACATACGTTTAGAAAAAACAGTTAAGAACATATTTTATTGAAAAGACAAGAGTAAAAACAAATTAAAGTATCATCTATGATTGCATCTTTGAGTTTCCTGTAGCCACAGTTTCAATTGTCTTTTGAAAGTAACAAAACTTGTGCTTTCTCTCACTTGAGTAGGAATGCTGTTCCAAAAAGTCGAGCCCTGGAATGACAGAACATTTTGAGAAAATGTTGTTCGCCTAAGAGGGAGCTCACAGTCACCTCTAACTGTAGCTCGAGTTACTCGGGAAGAGTCCCTATGTGGTTTTTGAATAATAAAACCATTCAGTGGTGGAGGGGCTAGACCATGAGTAACTTTGTAGAACAGGCAAGCAGATTTAAAATGTTTAAAATTTTGGAAACTGTAGAGAATATTTATCCAGAATCGGACAGTGATGGTACAACATTGGCTTTTTGTAGCAGGACTCAACAGGTCTGATAACCGAAGAGGCAGTAGTGTCTTGCCCAAGGACACAATGACTGCAAAAGACTCAGTGGGACTCAATCCCTCAACCCTCCGATTATGTGATGGACACTTAACTCCTCTGCCACCGTCGCCCCATCAGAGATGGTTGGTTATGAATGAAACTTCTGAGAAAAATAGCTCAACATGGTTTCACACAACCTTGGGTGAGGACACATCATAGGAAATATAATAGTTAATCAAATATGAGACAATAGTGGGATTTTTGTTGGGCGATAATGGTTTAAGTTGACGGTTGGTCAGTATGAAATCAAACAAAATCATTTTCTTGCTACAGTTTGTTTGAATTTCCCAGCATGCCTTGTGGTTTATAGTATTTAAAAGCAATCAGCTGTAATAATAAGCCCATTTCATGTCAGACATTTTGACTTAAAACATGAAAAACACGGGTTTGTTAATGAGGGCTGCATTCCATTTAGAAGAAACTGTGCTTGTATAGCCTAGAAATCTAGACCAACTGTAGCAGTAGCAGAAAGACTTTGCTCTGCAGGTCGGTCTAGCCATGCTCTATTGTAGCCTTAGTAGGTCTATCATTGGTCTGAGCAGTTTTGTGTCTGGCCAATCAGAGCGCTTTACGTTCGTAGGGTGGGCTTTGCCAGAGCAGTGACGGAGAAAACTCACAGCAAAGATGGCGTCGGCTCAGGAATGGTGCTTGCTTGAAGGTGGCTTCGGCGTTAACTTTGAACGATTTATTAAATTTAACAATTTATTAGACAGCAGAATTCGTTGAAGTCGTTGTTGGACGCCATGACAACCCTTTCCTTATTCTACAGAGTGGACTGCCCACTGACGATGAATAGGTCACGGTTGTTGCTCTGATTGGTCCTAGCGCTATCCAGTTGCGTACAGAAACTGAAAATTCTGCCCATAAGAGAGCCGTTTCAATAGTTCATGGCCAGAACATATATTTACTACAGGTGGGCCACTATCGGCGTTAACGTGCTGCGTCAATGCTACGCTCTTAAACTCTCGATAAAAAAATCTCGCCATTAATCTATTCTCGAAGTTGGGTTGGGATCTGGGTCCATACTAAGTAAGCTATGATGATTGTCACATTGATATTCTAGCTCGGATGTATACGCCGTCCCTTTTCTGTAATATACTTTTAGTGGAAGCAAAATAAAAACCAGATTATTGCACAAATAATTTGGCAAATATGTTCAAGTGGAAATACGCAGATTCATTGCGGGGGGGGGGGGGGGGGGGGTTAACCTGGCATGCAGGGTTTGAATAACGGCAGATAGCCCGGCTTACCTGAAAGGGTGACAGGCTCCACTGCCTTAACTTACACACCCACGAGGAGCCCGAAAATATATAGTTTCTACCTATATTACATTAATTATACAGACTCTCGGCATACCGGAGATTCTTTCTAGCATCCAGGACGTAGAGCGTTGAAGCGCTCCTGGCTGTGTCCTGCGCATGGCCACAGAAACATTCTCAAAATGACGCCACCAAAAAATATATATATAATTAACACACAATCCTTCAGGTCCGCTCAAATTCTTGCTGGTACTTTCTGTCTTTTATTCGAGCATGACGCACTTCGCTGCAGCAGAACTGATCGCCTGTGGCCCACTCCGCTGTTTTGCGGTGGGTAGATGACTTTTTCTGCTTAGTTAAAAAGTAACTCATGAGGTGAAAGAGTAGGAAGCCAGGCAACGGTTTTTCTGTAGGACTGAGAGGAGATGCAGGAAGATGAGAGGCAGACGGGACAGCAAAACAGACAAAGAATGAAATAACACAACAAAGAACTTGAGAGATAAAAGGAAGTGACGTCACCATCACCGGCGACCTCTGGAGATGGCTAGAACTACTAACTGAAACATGTAAGTAAACAAATAATTTTTACTGAACTGTGTAAGAAAAGAACAAAAAATGGATTACAGACAAAAACACAGTATGAACGCACAAAAGAGAAAACAAAGAGCTTGAAAAGGAAATGGAAGGCAGATTTATCCCACTACATGCTTTACCCTTTTAGAGCAATCATTAGCTGCGTTTTCATGTGGCAAATTTCCTCAATCCGATTGAAATCTTGGTTGATCGGAATTTCCGAATCTCTGTTCACATGGACACGAACTGAAATGATCCGATCATGCCGTGCATACATACGCACCAAGCATTTAATCCGATTAAATATGCGCATGTAAACGTGGCTATTTATGAGCATGTAATATTTATATATTTGATACAATTCAGATCACCGTCAAAACCCCCTCCTTTCCACCGGAGCCGTCAGCAGCGCGTTACTGCAGCAGCACGTCTCGCTCGCGTACGCTGCTGCTTGGCCCTTCCCACGAGACGCGAAGCAGCAGGGGAGCAGCTGTCACCGACAGAGCACGAAGTCACGCGACATTAGCAAAATCACGCGTGACTTCATCAGACTTCTGTATGACAGAGGTCCATACAGAAAAAAAAATCACGTTATTAACTAGCATAAACTCACCATCTTGCCCCAAAACCGCTGATACGTCACTCCATGCGTTATCCTTCTTGACGTTGTCTTTATAAAAACTGTGACTGGGATCAAACAGGATTGGGTACTTCTCCACTTCAGTAATCAACCTTTCGTCGTCCATTATGGGAAAACAAAGGAGACCGCTAGCTAGGTGATAACTTTTTTTTTAAAGTAAAGCAACCGGAAGGCAGTACGTTTCTTTATTCTGAAAATCTCGGGAGCTTCGCTCCGTTTCCACGTCCGATTTCCTGTTTTTCCTTCTCCAAAAATGACCGTGACCTACTGACCCGTTTCCGAGGCGTAGCGCGTAGAAAATAGAACCGGCGTGTAAGGGCCGCGACATGCTGCTCCTGAGACGCGGCCGACTCGCGCTGCTGACGGCTCCGGTGGAAAAGGTTCTGCTGACCACAGCGGTTCCTATCAGCAGCCATGATGTGCTGCTGCAGTAACGTGCTGCTGACGGCTCCGTCACGGCTCCGGTGGAGTCCCACACCCAGGGCTGTCTCAAGGCATTTTAGGGGCCAACCTCACTGGGCTCCCCCTCTGTGTAATTCCTACCCTGCTAGCACAGACCCCTGTTTCAGCTAATTCTCCCATTTTAATACAAAGCAACAACAGGGCTCATGGATAAAAACCGAGTCTGAATCTCTCCCCCCCCCCCCCCCCCCCCCCCACGCTGTGCAGTCGTGAGACCCACAGATCAGCTGATCAAGAGGCAGAGAAAAAGGATAAATCTTCAATCGAATTTTTATATTGTCACCAATAAAACACACCAAAGCATCATTGTACTTGCAGTCATAACCAGAGTTAAGACCGGGGCTTGTGTGAGCAAAAAATAAACCATGAAAAACGGTTCAGTGAATCAGGAAGGCAGAAAGAAATTTAATTTGTTTTTACATTTTTCACTTAAGTTCAAACTGTTTAGAATTGTGTTCGTTTGTCACGTTTAGCTTGTGAAAAATATCTTCAGCTTTAATAATTATGAGAATTTTTCTGTTGCATTGTTTGGAAAAATGACCATCATAACAATTAGATGGTTTTGTACTTTTTAAAATAAGTTTTGAATGTGAAACTTTGCTTAAATGGAATTATATCGTTTTTAGAAGTAATTTTATTTATTTGTGAAGCATTTTGGAAACAGGAGATAAGAAGCCCCTGGTCTAATGTGCCACCTGGCTTAGGAAACCTGTTCTCAAAGACATCCTTTTAGTCATTCCTTAGGTAGCACACACATTATGAATGGCAGACTTCAAACTAGCCATTTTAATCTAGATTATTCTAGATTAATTCCAACATTACAGTAAGATTAATCTAGATTAAACATTTTTTTATCTATGCCCACACCTAATATTTACATATGTAGGATGGCTCACCAAGCTAATTCTTTTACAGCATAGATCATATAGCTCCACAAGTGGAACCATTGTCTATCGTAAAAACAAAAAAGCGAGTGAGGTTATGACTGATGACCTTCTCAAGGTTAACGTTTGTGTACAAACATACTTGAGTTTGGGCTTCGGGGTGCTCAGCACACTGTCGTTATCATCGATCTCCGGCCCACTGTCGCTCTGGTTGTACACCTCCAGACTGTCGTAGAGTAAGTCCAGATCCTCCTCCACCTCCTGGGTCTGGTCCACTGGGTCAGAGTCCAGAACCTGCCACACAGAGACTCATGCATTAAGCAGCACCAAGAAAAGAGCACTGAGGGTTATAAAATAAGAGAACTTTGTATTAAATGCATCCTTTGTTTAGGTCCTGAGCGAGGTAATTAAAAGGTGGGTGAATGTTAGACAAGAGATGAGG